ATCCAAGATTTTGATGGAAGGGATGATTCTACAATATTCTCTAGTTGACTTGTTTTTATGGAGAACTATTTTGTTAGGTATAATTTCTCAGATGAGATGAGTGTAAGGCTTGCCAAGATGAAACTTGTAGGCTTGACAAAAATTTGGTGGTTTGGTGTTGAAGGAGATATAAGAAGATTGGGACAACCTCCTATAAACACTTGGCAAAAGATGAAAGCTAAGTTTCAATAGAGGTATATGCCCTCAAACTATAGTAGCAAGTTGTGCAAATAACTTATTAATCTACAACAATGTAACCTTTCTGTTACAAAGTATATTCAAAGATTTGAAGACCTAATTTTGACAAACCATATCGTAGAAGAACCTTGCCAAATAATTGCTCGATTCAAGGCTAGTTTAAGAGCAAATATAAAGGCAAAAATACTTGGGCAGCTACTATACAACGTAGAGCATGCATTCCAAGTGGCACTTGGTATGCAGATGTACCTAAATTTTCTTCACCAAGTAAGTACATCAAGGGTTTTTTCTTCGCAAAAGGGTAAAATTCAATGTTATTTAGATTCTAATGTGTAACTAGAGAAAATTCATCAAAAGTAGCCCAAAGCAACAACTGAGATGAAGGAAATCAAATAGAAGAATCAACACAATTCCAAGCAACTACGCTACTTACTTGTCCAAAGGCTAAGGTAAAAAGTGAATATCTAGACAATTTTTTTGTTGTGGAGCCTGACAAGATGGAAAGTCTAGCAACTAGTATTCAATCAAATGAACCTTTAGAGATGAGTATGTTACTACCTAAGAGCTCTAAAATAGTGCTAAAAGTGTTGCCCGGTGAAATTGTTTCCTTTAATGACTTTCAACCAACAACAATGATGTTCCAAGAGCTTGATTTGTTTGCATCTTTCAAGGATCTACATGAAGAGTCACCAATGCTTCTTTCTATCCACTTTGCTCCACCAATTGATTTTATCATTCCAGAAAATTTCAACGACACTGTTAAGAATAGTAGGATAGTATGTGTAAATTGTTAATAGTAAGAGGATGTATATGTAATTCTTATTATTTTAGGTTAACTATAAATATAAGTGATGTATGAGAGTTAGGTTAAGTTTTAATCTCTCTCTGTTCTCTCTAATATTGTGTTAATTCTCCACACTTAACATGGTATCAGAGCAATTACGATTATAAATATATTCTGAATAAATTAATTTTTTTGTGGTATTGTGGTGGTGCCTGTGTTTGTCGAAGCGTGGTGGTGATGCTCTGTTTGTGCTACTATTGTGGTGGTGTTGTATTGTTCATCGTGGTGGTGTGGCTATGGTTTGTGGTGGTTCATCGTTGGTGGTGAGGCGTGGTCTGTGGTGGTTGTTGTGATCGCGTGGTCTGTGGTGGCTGTTGTCTTGTGGCTGTAGTGGTTCATCGTTGTTGGAGGCATGGTCTGTGGTGGTTGTTGTGGTGGTTCGTGTAGCAATCGTGGTGGCACAGTCGAAGACTAGGGTTACAGTAACCTTATTCGACGAAGAAGAAAGAGTCCAGACCCAGAAAAAGGTCCAGACCCGGTTTAGCTCCAACAAATTTAAATTGGTTTAGCCCAGCCCAATTCGATCGGGTCCAGCCCACTTCGGTCCAACCCAGTTTAGCCCCAACTAGTTCGGTTTAGCTCCAACCAGTCTGGTTCAGACCGGTTTTACTCCGGTTCAGCGGTCTAGAGGGCTAAATCAGTCTGGTTCAGACCGGTTTTACTCTGGTTCAACGGTCCAGAGGGCTAAACTAGTTCGGTTCAGGCTTCCAGTGGCCTTAGCAAGGCCGGTTCAGTGGTCCAAGCTGGTTTTCCAGTCCGGTTCAGGGCTCTCGCAGCCTTAACAAGCCCGGTTTAGTGGTTCAGGCTGATTTTTCAGATTGGTTCAGTATTCCAGCAGCCTTAACAGGCCCGGTTCAGCGGTCCAGACAGGTTTTCTAGTCTGGTTCAGGGCTCCCGTAGCCTTAACTGGTCCGGTTCGATGATTCAGGCCGGTTTTTCAGACTGGTTCAGTATTCCAGCAGCCTTAACAGGCCCGGTTCAGTCCAACATTCTCTTTTTCTTCTGGTTCGACATTGCAACACTTCTTGTTTGCTATTTGCTGCATTATTATGGAACCCAAGCTAGACACTAGATTGGTTACTATTACTCGAGAGGAGTATGCCCAGTTTCTATCTCAGCAACAGGTTGTTCTATCTTCCTCTACTGCTACTTTTGCTTAGTCAGGTATTGCTTCCACTTTTTTATTGTCCTCCAATCGCAATCCCTGGATCATAGACTCTGGCGCTTTTGATCACATGACTGGTGCGTCCGATATTTTTTCTACTTATCAGTCTGCTCATTCCACACGTAGTGTTACTCTTGCTAAAGGCACTTGTTTTAAAGTTTCAGGTTTGGGGACTACTAACTTGAGTCCTGATATATCCCTATCTTCCATATTATTTGTAAGTCAGTTCATGGGGTGTCCTAGAGTACCATATTAGGATACAGTTACTCGTATTCTGCGATATCTCAAACGTGCTCCTAGACTTGAACTGTTATACGAGCCAATGGACATCTTAGAGTAGAAGGTTTCTTAGATGCTGATTGGGCTGGCTCTCCTTCTGATCGGAGATCAATCATTGGTTATTGTACTTTCTTAGGAGGTAGCGTTGTTTCATGAAAAACAAGAAACAATCCGTGGTAGCAAGATCCAGTGCTGAGGCTGAGTATAGGGTAATGACGCATACGACGAGTGAGTTGACTTGGCTACTACACTTCCTCTAGAAAATTGAGTTTTCAATTCAACTTCCTTTATAGTTGTTCTGTGACAACCAGGCAGCTATTCAAATCGCTGTCAATCCTGTGTTTCACGAGAAAACCAAGCATATTGAGGTTGATTGTCACTTTATTCGGGACAAGATAGTAGCTAGGGAGATTACAACTCCATTTGTGAAATCTGAAGGTCAACTTGCAGATATGTTTACCGAAGCATTGAGTCGTACACGTCTTACAGCTATTTGTTCTAAGCTTGAATTATATGATATATATAGTCCAGCTTGAGGGGGGGTGTTAAAAATAGTAGGGTAGTATGTGTAAATTGTTAATAATAAGAGGATGTATATGTAATTCTTATTATTGTAGGTTAACTATAAATATAAGTGATGTATGAGAGTTAGGTTAAGTTTTACCCTCTCTTTGTTCTCTCTAATATTGTGTTAATTCTCCACACTTAACAGACACAATCAAGGGGATCAATTTTCAAATTTTTTATTTGTTCCCTCAATTAGAGAAGAAAATGAGACATCATCTTAACGCTTCTCAGAGACAGCTACATATACAAGTTCAAAATTTTTGGACTTCCATACTGCAACACTTTAAAACTCAAGGTCGAGTTTTCTCTAACAAGGGGAGAATGATGCAATCCATAAGATGCTCAAGGAAATACAAATTTGAAGATGTGAAAGATAATGAAATTGACTTTCCATCAAGACAAAGATCCATATGGAACCTTGCATTCTTATTTTAAATTAATTTGCTAGTATTAATATTTTATATGTCCTTTTAATATTTTTAGTGTCAGGGGTATTTTTATAATTTTTGGAATAGGTCATATTTTTGAATCAAATTCTAGTATTGAATATTTTAGAATTTAAAGTCCTAATTTTAGTTAATTTTAATTTTCTAATTTGTAGGGATCTAGTATTTTTGTAGTTCTAGAGACTTTGAAATCCTAATCTTTTGGGATTATGATTACTTAGAACTCTATATATAGTTAGTGTTACTTTTCATAATAGATGGAGAGAGATATTCAGATTTTTCAGCAATTACATGTTTCTTGAGTTGTGTGATTCTAACCCTAGGTGTGATGCCTATGGAACCCTAGGAGTGATTCCTAGCCAAAATTACTGTTCATGCTACAGTTACAGCACCATTACTGTTTACAGGTACTGTTCACAGCTCCTAAACAGTCCCTATTTTTATTTTACAAAGTTGTCCTACATCAGTGTGCCCCCGTGTGCATGGTGCAAGGCTGCGATTGAGCTGGCATAGGTAGAGAGGGAGAGGGAGGGAAGGAGGAATTATCACCCAATGGTTGTTTGAGGCAATGAATATTAAAAATATAATCTTTAGATATTATGGAAGTGGTCTTACTCAATGCAAGAGAATATACTTATTTTCCCAGAGACTACGAAAGGTTAAAAGCAAATACAGCCTGTAAACTATATTTTAAATAGTGGATTCCTTCTCTTTTGAATAAATTGAAAACTCCACTATGACCACTAAATTATTCAGTAAAATCCTCCTTACTACACATTCAGACCAAGTCTTTTAGTGATGACATCCTGATTGTTAATATAATAAAAAAAAATTAAACGTTATAGACCCCCATATTTATTAAGAGAATTTCAAAATGCCTTTCCCTTCCATTAAAAACCACATATACCCTTAAATTGCGTGATCTGGGGGTCTTTTGCAATAGCATGTGATTATCAATCACATAAGTGTTTTTGAGAGCTGAAGGTTGTGTATCTAGTTTTATGAATAACTATTATCATATTCTTGGAGTCATTTCATGGATTCTCTAACTGGAAAGAGGAAATCTTGAATTACTTCCCTGCTGTTAGGGTCTTATTGTATTTATTCAAAGTTGAAGAGGGAGTCCACTATTTGACCTAATCTTAGGGCTATGTTTGCTTTTAATCTTATAATGAAAGTGGTCATACACGTTATAGAATGTTCCAATCTTCATTTCTCGTATATTATGCATTTTTTTACAGATTGCACAATATATCGTCTCATATTGTTTATCTACTTCGCGCTTTCTCTGTCTTCTTCGCTAATTAGCCATCTTTCTTCAATTAAACTCACTTTGTAGGATTTGGTTGAGAGAAGATTCCTTGAATGTGATCTCTCCAGTATGTCTAGTGTTGAAGTTTTAGTCTCCTCATGATGTGTATAGTAGTTACATGAAGTATTCTGAAGCATGGATGCCAAATATATGCCCTGTTCCACGAGGGAGATGGATCCTAGATTTGTATTGTATCCAGAGTTAGTTTTCTCTTGTGATTGTTGCGTTTAATTGGATGACACTGAAGGACTGTCTTCTAAGATTGTTATTTGACCCAAAAGCTTGTGTGATGACAGTGTAATCTTCTGTGAAGCTGTTGCTATATATGGTGTTATTGTGGCTATTATTCTGCAAACAAAGCTAGAGAGTGTTTCTACATCAAAGATTTATGCACCCGAGTCTCTTAGAGCTGGATATGCAATCTTCGCCTCTGGAATCATTGTGGGCTCTGCAAATCTTGTCTGCGGGTTTGTCCAAACTTAGATTTTGAAGCCCAATGACATAAATAGATTTTCTTTCTTGGTTCCAAGTCAGATAGTGTTGAATTTTTTTGTTTTTTGAAAGTTATTTTTTGTTCTTGTTTAAGTGTTTCCTTCTGGTTGACAGGTTGTGTGTAGGAATTATAGGAAGCAGCTGTGCATTATCTGATGCCCAAAATTCATCACTTTTTGTGAAGATCCTTGTTATTGAGATTTTTGGTAGTGCACTGGGGTTGTTTGGAGTTATTGTGGGAATAATCATGTCAGCCCAGGCAACATGGCCTTCTAACTCAGCTTGATTTGCATTTTCATCGGTTCATGACAACCCGGTCTATTGTATGAGGCAGCATATTGCATACGCCAAGTGAGCTCCATTATCTTCTTCTCTAGTTAGTTTAGTATTAGGCATGTAAATCTCGTGGAAATATAAATTTTCCTCTCTTTCTTAGTTTGACTGAATTTGTTTTAGTGGAAATTGGCTGATTTTCTTACTAGATCCTATCTGAGTTGTATGTTAGTAAACAAGACCCATTTGATTTATGCACTTTGAATAAACTCATTATTTACCAAAGAGTTTTTGCAAGCACTTCCTTGGTGAAACTTTCAGCTCCACCCTGATGGGGGCACACTAAGATGTCACTCCGATTCACTTGGCTGCAAACTACAGTAGAGCATCTTGGGCTTTCCTGGGGCTAAAAAACTACAAATGCCATTGTTCTCATTGCTTCTCTTTGCAACACTCAGTTTTTTATTATTTTGTTCTATTCCAGAACATGAGAATCCATATAAATTTTTTTTTAATATGTACTAATTACAGCATTTTCACATAATTGAGGCAAAGAAACACAGTGCCAGAACAATATTCCAAAGCACTTCCGGCTTGAAGATAACATGATCTATATGAGTTCAAATGGAACATCAGCAAAGAAAGGCATGTTTTTCTGCTGAAGCTCTTGGCAATCTTCTGGACATGTGTTCTTCGGATCAAAAGGCTTGCGATCTGGAAGAATTAGACCTTGTTTGATGCGACCGAGTCTTCTCGAATGTAGCACTTGCTTCAAAATGACGGGCAGCCGAGTAGATTGATATTCTTCGAGAGCTGACTTTAAATTTTCCACTCCCCACTTCTCAAGACATTTTCCTAAAACTGCTGCATCCAGTATTGACATATTTGTGCTTCTTAAACCATGAGGAGTTGTCGGGTGAGCTGCATCTCCAATTAAAACCACATTGTCCCAAAATATTTGTTCCAAAGGATCACTATCATATATAACATTGAGGAAAGGTTCTTTCGTTTCTTTTATGACTTTCATCAACTCTGGAACCCAAACTTTTTCTGCTGCATTGTGCATCTTCTCGATCATGTCACTGCTAACTTTCATGGTCACCGAGTTCCCCTAAGTTCATTCTTCGAAAAGTCAGTACTAAATAGGGTTGTAAACATAGGTTCTACGGATATAGAAGCAATGATACTGCATTACGTTAGTAGGATACAGGCTCTAAGGAAAAGCACCACTAATCACTTTCCCTCCTTTGGGTTAAAACTATTACTTTCAACTGGGGCATGTATGATTTATAATTTGTGAATATAGGATTCAAATAAGCAGTACGCATAGGATAAGAGCAAGCAATCACCTTAACTTGTGGCTCAGGTTGATTAATGTACCAAATCCAATTCATTCTTTTGTTCGATAGCTCATAAAACACACTGTGAGTACCAGAACTTAAGTCAAAGTAAAGGCATCGCCCAAGATCTGGATATGCCTTATTGATGCTCACAATGGCTTCTGAATTCTCATTATCTGCAAAGTCGAGAACTCCTCTCCATGCACAGTAACCTGAGTACCTAAAGAAAAAGGTTCTTAAGTTCAACCATTTTTCTCCTGAAGCTAGTTATTTTACTATAATTGGTCCCCAAAAAAAAAATTCCACCATTTTGGTTTGCCAACCTTAATTTAAGGTCAGGGAGGAAACTCTGACGAATTGAAGAGAGACACCCATCGGCTGCAATAAGCAAATCACCAATTATGTCGACAATACCACCAGTTTGAAGAACTTTGGTTTTTACCTTAACAGAGGTTTTGTCATCTGGCATGCAAAAGGAAAGGAACAAATGACCCCAAAGAAAAATGTCCTCTGGTAGTGCATTGTAAAGAAGGCCATGAAGATCAGCCCAGTATGCCGCTCTGAAATTGAAGTTATCGTCCCTCGTCAGTGTCTGGCTGATTTTCTTTTCCCCATATGTCACTTGGTTCTACAAATAAACAGAAACAGAGAAAGTTGGACGTAAACTAAACAACGTCCAATTTAGAACTCAATAGAAGCAGAATCATTTTTTGTTTCATCATCTTTTTGGTGCCAAGGACTAGCCATTTTTCTATTGTTTAAGGCCTCATGGTGCATCTTGTTACAATACTTTTCTGGTGAGTCTTGTTAAAACTCTTTATAGTGGCATAATAGTAAGCAGTGTCATCACTATTTGGCAGGACATTGATCCCCCTTTTTTTTACGCCTGTTCCCGGAGAAGAGGAGAAGCATACCAGTTCATCATTGGAGGTAGATAGAGCATGATGCAATAATTCCTAAGCTATGTGATTCTCCTAGCTCTTTGGAAGAAGGAGAGAGAAAGAGCGTTAAATCTTGAAAGCACACGAGTACCAGAAATGATCTCACCAATTAGGTAGAGATCCTTTCCATCAGTCTTGAGCACATTGCTAATTTTTTTGAGCACCCGCTTAGTTTCTAGTATTGCAAAACAACATAAAAATTTGAAAAATAAATGCAATATTGCAATTTTAATGATGCTAATCAAAACAGAAAATTAATTTTTTTTTTTTTTGTGTTTCATAGAGAACACAATTTTAACCTGCTCCTCAGTACAAACGGCTACTTTAGGCCATTTCGCCACCGGGGTGGCTGCAGCGAGCTATTCCGAGGAGGTGAGAATATAAAAGGGGAGGGTTGGTGAGAAAACATAAGGGATGCGTTTTGCAATATTTGGCAGTATTTCGGGGGCAAGCTTAATTTGGTAATTTATTAGGAAAAAAAAATTCCTCCAATCAAAGTCTTCCACATAGTATATATCACCATTCCCCCAACTTCTTCCACATTCTACACCTTCCCATTTCCTATCATCTTTTAATTTCTCGTTTTCCTTTTCTCTCTGTCTCCCTGGCACAAACAACTTAAAAGGGTTGGGAGATGGGATTTTGGGGGGGGGGGGGGGGGGGGGAAAGATGATGGCAGATACAATTCTAAATCCCGCGCATCATACAAGTCCGCCTCTAGTACTTGTATAATGTGTTTCAGTGTTCAGAACCAGTTTTCACATACTGTAAATATGGATTCATTGTTTTCAATGGTACCCTATCCACTGTGAACAGGTATGATCACTTGTGACAGTCAATCCTGATCAATCAAATAAATAGTAAATCTCACATACTCAGTCTACATTAAATATACCCACTATGCTCTTACCATCTTAGGGGGACTATAGCCCTGCACTACAACATATAGTTTGACTTATCAAACAGCAGTAAATATCTTTAATAGCCACTAAGGTAGAGCTCAAACCATCGTTCAAAATATGCATATATCTTCTTGAATGAACGTTCATAAAAAAAACTATTCGATAGCCCAAATGGTCAGACATCATTAGACCTCTGGGTCTAGTGAGTACGAATTATCTACTATTTCAATACAAACTAAAATAAACAAAATCTCATGTCTCAATCATTTGAGGTCGATTATATGAATTTGTCTTCTTTGCCATTCATTTCAATGATGCGCTAACTATGCGCTCATCCACTATTTCAATAGTGGGTTTCAATTCTATAAATCCCTGTAACTATCAAGGATTTTTTGTATCTGCCGTGATTAGGAAGAGGGATTCGAATCCGGTGGTTGTGCAAGTGGAAACAGCAATTCTGAAACGTAAAGAACTTCAAAAAAGGGTATAAAAAAATTGTGGAAAATTGAGGTACCTGATCGATTGTGAGGGGCAAGGTGGCCTTGTGGAGAAGCTCAGGGCGACCGAGCCACGACTCAATGAGTCTCTGAGCCAAAGGGTCGAGTCCCAGTCCAGCACCGGTTGGGCTTCCAGTGGGAGGCGCGCTCGTCTTCTCCAGCACCACCACGTCCCACCCTGCTACTATGAGCGCGTGTGCGCAGGAGATCCCTGCTATACTACCTCCCACCACCACTGCTTTGGGCTTCCTTTTTGCCGGCTTCATCTCCCTCTTTCTCTCTCAAAATGTACGTCTGTGATGTCAGGTGTGAGCCAAGTAATATTCTGCTGTTTGGAAGGGACTATAGAATTTACCAAACTGCCCAATTTCATGATTCCCAAAAAATTCCATTACCAACACTACCCCTAGAAACACCCCCACCCTCTCCAACCACTAACAGCACCACCCTAGAAATACCAACACCCTCCAAACGCCAACCCATTGAATAAGATGTTATACTAATAACTACTAAATTCAATTTTTTTTTAACACATAAATTAGAGCTAAAATTTAGGAAAATCACATCATATGCATCATTACTTATTTTGTTTACTTTTTAAAGTTAAACTCATTTATCCTTTAAAATTTGATCAAAATTAACAAATTGCAGAAAATATATTGCAAAAAAGAATTGTAACGCAGTTAACCCATCCTAATCTTCGCCCATTTTAGAAGTAATCTACAAGGAACAAATCAATGTAGAACCCCAAGCCCCTCATCGGTTCAAGTCTTTCCCTTCATCCAATATCTTCTCATTTTTCTCAATCATTGGGCACCTTCAAAGCTCAAGCAAGTTTGATCTTTTTTATCTCTCTTTCTATTGCTCCATTTTTCTCTCTATTCCTCTCCCTCTCCTTTCCATCCATCCATACATGCACACACAATGATAGCGGTTGAAAAAACCATGGCAATTATGGTGATGGTTAAAGGTGTTAACGATGGGTGATAGTGACAGTCATGATTATTCTATATTTATTAAGTGTATGTGTAACAAAAAGAGGAAAAAATGAGAATAAGATAGTGTTTTTGCTACATAGTGAATTTTGTTATAATACAAAATTAATTTGGAAACAATATCAAGGGTTTAATCATGCTTCGAGACTGCCTTGCCAACTGTTATAGAATGACCATCACTCCACAGACAAAATCTTGTTAATTTATCCATTTTTATGATCATCTCACCAAAATATTCGAATTCTTTGGAATTAATTAACTTCTACGATCTTAATTACTTTACTGATTCATCAAGGAATAATTTATTTTACCGATTTCTTTTCTATTCTAATGGAAACGAGAGAACATATTCGTAGCTCTCACCGCATATGTGTCAAGTGCGAGGGCAACTTAAATAGTGTAGCTATATGCACCCAAACATTAAACTAATTAATGCTGGGCCATAGATTTTCAAAATGACATTGCCAGGGTGTTGATCAGGCCAATTACACCAATAGTCACATTGGAGCTCTTTGCTCAATGTCTCGGGTAACTGTACAGTTTTCACAAATGAAAGGGATGTCATTGTAATTTATTCCAAATATGGGATTACTCCATAGAGTTTCTGCCCCAAATATAAGGCGGACTTCTGGAGTCACTTGGTCGCCAGCGCTATGTAACATTGCACCATGGAACCCTGTACCCTACTAGAAGCGAATGGAATGTCATTACGTTATGATACGACGTCGCTTACTCTGTTCGAATCTTTAGATTCTCTGACTGTCACCCCTCTCTGTCTCTTGGTAGATATACAAATGCCATACGTCTAACCCCTTTTGCTGTGTCTGAGTGCATTGATTGTGTTTGTACTTGGCGATATCGAGAGGTCAATAAAATGGGGGCCGGACGCGAAATGACAACGTCGTTGGACGGAGTAAGGGACAAGAACTTGATGCAACTGAAGAAGCTCAACTCTGTCCTATTTCCAGTTCGTTACAATGACAAATACTACGCCGATGCTCTCGCCTCTGGTGAATTCACAAAGCTCGGTATAATTCTAATTCTGGGTTTTGGTTATTATGCTTTTTTTATCATTTTGCATTCTTCTTTTGAGCTTAAAATAAAGTTTATTGTTGTTTTTGAGTTCTGGGTTTTAGGGTTTTGTGTTCTATGTATTCGGTGATGTTTGTATATTGGGTGTAATAGTATTTTTTATTGAATTGAAGCATATCATTTAATTAAAAAAAAACTGAGAACTCGTGCTGGAAAATGTTGGCTTTGTGGTTCTGCTTCTGGGTATTGTTTATATTTCCTTCTTATCAACCGGGTATTCTTGCTATGCACTTTCATTGATGTTTGTTATTGTTTGTGACTGAATTTTTTCTGGGTTCTATGTATTGGAAAATGTTGGTATTGTGAATTTATTAGTTCCCTTGCTTTGAAAGAATTGATGCTACATATTAATAAATTGATATACTGTTTTTTGTTTTGCTTTTGTGCAACATTGAAGTTTGTTTTGCCAAAGTAATGATTGATGCTGCCTTAATGCCATGGAATCCCTGAAGATAGGCTTTGTTGATCTTCTTGGTTCTGCTTATTGTTGCTTGATTGAGATGGCTTTGTGTTTTAATGACAGGATTAGTAAATTGAAGCTGACCCTTGGACGGGCAATGGATGTTTTGTTATTTTTCATTCCTTTTGCCCGTATTTTATGTGCCCCAAATTTTATTTGGAGTCAAGTTTTCTTAAATTGCAAACAAATAATTATACTGATCCCTCTTAACATCCAATTTTTTTATCATCATTTTCTAAATATTGTCTCAATTCCCAATGTCGTGTACAGCTGAAAAAGAATACTTCAATAATTGCTTCATCAAGGTTGGCTTTGAGATTACGATGTTGGATCTTAATCTTCTTGGAAACAATATTATAATGACTGATTTCTTTGTACCCTACCGTTTCCAGCATTGCAGCACTGCAAAAAACCTCAAGCTATTCTCAAATTCCGAAGATTACTTCTTTACTATGTCACGGGTTACTTGTACATATCATGCTCAGTGTAAATAATTTAATCTATCCAGATTCTTTTTCAGCCTGCTTTCTTTTTCTCTATCCTATAGTTCTTGTTGCTAGTATTCTTTTGGGGAAAGCTGAGTTCAGTCAGTTCGATTAGACCTTGAAGTTTGGATGGGACATGATGTATGTTGTACCTTCCCCTGCAGTTAAGACTCTTGCAATCTTATTGTCACTATTCTTTTTATTTGGTATTTTCTAATGCAAATTCTAGACACTTACCCATGTGTGGACTTGTTGACTAGAATGTGTAGAAAGCTGCGTATATCACATCTTTTGGTACGGATCCTTCGTAGGCCAATAGCTCTCTACTAAAGGATGATGTATAATAACACTTTGATATTCAGGAGCACATCGTACAGTTTGGACTTTGGACAATGGCCAAATTTTTTTTATTTTTTAACCTAGAAACAAACTTCTTTGTGGCTTTTGCGCAAGAGCGTATGTGTAGAAAGAAAACAAATAGATATAATGAACATGTTGCAGGGTTTTGAAAGCAAACAAGTAAAGCCATACATACATCTCAAATATTCTGCATTTTTTATCTCCAGCGTGTCTAGTAACACATGGTTTCCTTCAGAAATCACAATTTTTTTTGGAGATTTTACTTGGTTTTTCTCCCTTTGCAGCATATTACAGCGACATATGTGTTGGTTCAATTGCATGCCGGCTTGAGAAGGAAGACGGAGCTGTTCGTGTATACATTATGACATTGGGTGTTTTGGCGCCATATCGTGGGCTAGGTATTGGTGAGTAAGCTACTTATTTTCCTCTTGATTCATTGCTCGAGTGGGAATGGCGAGGTTAACCTGAATATCTGGTCCTTGAATCATGCTGATTCTAAATTAGTTACCTTGTTGAGTATGCACATAATTAAGAGCAATGAGTTGCAGAGGTATCTCAAGTTCTCAACATGCTCCAAAATAAAAGTGCTAAGATAGTTCAAAGATGTTTCCCACTAGACCAGGGACGGAACCAGAAAATTATCACGAGTGGGGCCAAATAAAAACAGTGGCATAGTTAATAATTTAATGAAATAAGATCATCCAACAAGTTAGTATTGTTTTTTTAATTATGAAGTCCCAATCCTTTTTTTTTTTTCAACAGGGAAGACCCTATCATTGGATGATACTATCACCAAAACTTAGTTTGTAAAATCCAAAAACTATTTATTACTTATCATTAGAAAATTGAATTTGTAACAATTTCACGGACCACTTATTCTCTCCTTATGACATGATGCAAAATTTTGAATTATATACCACCATAAATATTCACATGATATCATTATAAATGTTAGTTGTGAGCTAATGTATTGTTGATGATATAAAATCACATTTATACCTTGATTTTGAAGCACATTTCCTTCTTTTTTCTGTGGATCATCAAATTTGCCCAAAAAAAATATTTTCTTCCATAAAAACTCACTAGTCCATGTGAACAATATGCCCCATTAGTTAGTAAATGTTTAATGTCATGCTATTATGCTTTTCAAATACACTAATTGAATATCCTTCAAACAAAAAGAAGTTTTTGAAAACTTAAAAAGGACATATAGAATTCTTAGAAGCCTTAGAGGGGGAATAGGGTAATTTTGAAAAAATGCGGGGGGCCATGGTCCCCCTTGGTCTCCATGTGCACTAGACCCCTTTAACTTACGTAGGCTCCAGCTTCCATTTTGTGGTTTCCACTAGATCTTTTAGATTTGGCTTAAGAGCCAAGGTTCTCAAGCCCAAAAAATAAAAAGAAAACTAAAGGAAAAAAAAAAAAAACGATTAGGGAATCCAATTTAATGCAGCTTTCTTAATTTATCTGGACGATGAAAATTGTGGCATGCTTGGCTGACATGGATTCTGGACTTGGTGCAGGTACGAAGCTGGTAAATCATGTTCTTGATCTCAGCTCCAAGCAGAATATTGGTGAGATTTACTTGCATGTGCAGACAAACAATGACGATGCCATCAACTTCTATAAGAAATTTGGATTTGAAATCACAGACACCATCCACAACTATTACATAAACATTACCCCTCCGGACTGCTATGTTCTTACCAAGTCCATCATTCAACCTCGAACAAAAAAATAAAAACTATAGCGCTGGTTCCCTTCTAGGATAAAGTTTCACCTTTGCATTTACACTGGTGTGCAAGTGTTGAGGTACTAAAGATGCTAACTTAGAGAAATGGGGTTGCTTATGAAGACTATTTTTTTTTTTGCTCCCTAGGATTCCTTTATTTTATTTTCTAATGTTTTGATGCTCCCAACAAATTGAAGTCCTTTGTTGAAACTCTTTAGAACAAGAACTGGTTAAACTCTTGTATTTTATGGGGACTAATTGAATAGATTCTGTTCTCTAAGAAAATGCATATTACTCAATTTAAGACATTAAATTTGATCAATTTATTTGTTTTACCCTGCCAGTCTTTGAGTAGAGACATTTTGATTGTCTTTGTGCTGAATGTGATCAGTCTTGGCTTCCATAAGTATTTATGTATTTCAGGCTCACAGGATGTAGAAGGTTTGAATGCCTTTTTTCCCCATGTGTCTGCATAATCCAATGGTTTTCTTTGTCAAATTTTTGTTCTCTGTTGGAGCCGTCTTTTTCCTCGCTAGATTTTCTGATCTTAAATAACCCGGAGAGTAAATTGAAGAGCACCAACTTCTGTCTTCGCCAGGGATTATAAAGTTAGGAAAGCCTGTAGATTGTGTGCTATCATTGCTAACTCACACACACAGTGGGTTGACAGTTCTCATGAGAGATGGGAAAAACTATTTTCTCTCTTTTAGCTGTTTGATTATTATGACTCCCTTTTGCAATCCTGTAAGGGCATGTTTATTTGGGAGTTTTAGCGGTATTATAGGGTGGGATAGCAAGAAATAGGAGTTGGGGGTCTCACCTATTATCTTATTTGATTGACATATCTTGTTTGATTGACATATCATGTGTAATATTACTTTTCGGGTTGTATTATTGACCCGGTTTATACAGATGTTTTTAATCCTTGCACATGGCTTTAAAGAATACAACTTACTGGTTGGTATTATTTGTTGGTATAAAGCCACCGATGGTACATGCAAGGAAAATAACACAAATATACTCCTGTGTAGAGTTCACATATAAAAAATTTATTATGAATTTTTTCCTTGTATTATGTTTAAGTGTGCAGTGTAAGTGGTTTTTTTTTTAAATTACTTTGAATTTTTTTCTTATATTATGTTTAAGTATACAATGTCACATTTTTTTAAAAAAAAATTATTATGAATTTTTTCCTTGTATTATGTTTAACTATACAATATCACTTATTTTTTTTATTTTTTATTTTTTAAATATTTTGAATATTTTTTAATATTATGTTTAAGTATACGGTATCATGGGGTTTTTTTTTTAAATTATTTTAAATTTTTTCTTGTATTATGTTTAAGTGTACAGTGTCATCTTTTTTATTAATTATTTTAAATTTTTATCTTATATTATCTTTAAGCTTACGGTATAACCAGTTTTTAATTTTTTTAAAAAAATTATTTTGAATTTTTTTCTTGTATTATATTTAAGCATACGATATCATCGAATTTTTTTTATGTGAATTTTTTTCATTATCTTGAATTTTTTGGGTATAGATTGTCATACCATGTATTATACCCAATGCTATGCAAAAGCATTGTACAAATGAAGTAATAGAATAGATGATGTTAAGGGTACAATTGTTTATTTGTTATACAAGATAGAATAAATGGTTATTTGTGTGACCCATCATAATACATATTGAACAAACAAATATGAAAGGGGATTGAAATACTTTATATTATCGATACTAATTGTTATTGGTATTAAAAATATAAAAAATATATTTCTTAATCTCATGCAATACTCAAAACAAACATTCCCTAATGCAACACCTTGTTTTTCAGTTTTAAATATTTTTTGGCCATTGCGTGTTTGTTAGAAGAAATTAACTTCTAAAATCATGAAAGTGAAAAAAAAAAAGACTTTATATATAGACTATGTAGTTTTTTCAAATTAAAATAAATTCATAAATGGGCTATGTCTTCTTATAATTTTGTAAAAAGTAGAAAATGGAAATTGTGAAGACGCTATTATTTTGTGAATTTTTTTTTTTTGGATTGATGTGAAAAATTATTGAAATCCATCGATTTTAAACTTATACACAAAGCAATAGTATATGCATCGTAATGTAAATAGGTCTGTCAATTAATCGAATTTTAATTTGAAGTTAATCTAAATTTAACTGAGATTAGTCATATGTGAATTTATTTTTTTGACCAATTATTCAAAATCAAAGTTAAATCTCAATATGTTACATAACATATCATGAATTTGAATTTAAATATATAAAACATCTAATCCATTATAATTGAATTTAAATTTTACATAAATATTTATAAAAAATTTAGATATTTTAATTTTTTTATTGATAATTTGATAAAATTGAGATGAAATTCAGATTTAATTTATTAAAATTAATTTTAATTAAGTTACTCAAATTGGAATGAATCTATTTTCACATTGTTTGAATATGAACAGTATCTAGATTCGGATCAATACAAAGTTCGACCCGAATGCAGTCCGGGCCTAAGTGCACATAACAGAACGTGCTCAACGCGCTCAGTTTCTGGAAAACTCGTCAAATGAAACGCGCCTCTCCGCCTCTCCAATTCCTTGCTGCCGCAGCATCCTCCGACGCGACCTCCACCATGTCTTCTCGCCCTCCGGTGACCTCCATCCCAAAACTCTTAACACACACACACACACTCACATATATGCATATATAATTGGTATGGTCATCAATAACGTGCTGTTTTTACTGCTAGCAGTGCAGAGGCGGTCGTACCCAATGGCGAAGAGGCTTCGCTGACCGGCCTTCCGGTGACGGCAGAGGCAACCAGTATGTGACCGGAGACTCCCACTTCCGGTCCGTCAGAGACGCCAATCGAGGGTTCAGACCAGTAGAGACAGAGAACTTCTCGAACCATGGCTCGTTTCGTTCTCAACCTCGCCCTCATTCGTTCAATCCTCGAGCACGACCGTTCCATCCCAGACCTCATTTTTATCCTCCTCCTCCTCCACTGCCTTTCAATTCTGATCCTCGACCGCCTTTTGATCCTAATTTTCCCCCTTTCAATCCGAATCAACCATTCCGACCACCGCCACCTCCTAGTTATCGGAATCAACAGTTCCGCCCACAGCAGCAGTATCGCCCACAGCCGTCCAAGCCATTGGATTACCGGAATTGGGAGCATGCTAAGCCGGGACCGCCTCCTCATTTTTGCGGTAAGTACCTTTGTGCTTATTTCTAATATGACATGTGAGGGTTTTATGCTTGCTAGTTGTTTTTATGTACGATTTGAGGGACGGAGTATTTGTAGTTGAGCTTGAATGAATATTATGGTGTACAGCACTATTTTTTAGTTGGGTATTATTTGGACAGAACTATAAAAATGACTTATATTTGTTTTGGAGGGAGAACTTGTTTTTGTTTTTGTATCGAAACAAGTAGTTCTCCTAAAAGGCTCAGGGAACTTTGGTATGACTTTTTTTTCTCAGTTTTTGTGTACATACATAAAGATACCTAGTGCATAGATGGGAGAGAGAGAGAAGTGGAAATTAATGATAGACATGCTATGATACAATAATTTCAATGATAAGGCTGGAAAGGATGGTAGTTTGTTAGCGGGCAACCTATGAAGCACGGATACGGATACGAGTACGATATGATACGGATACGGCGATATGACAAAATCTAAAAAAATTGGATACAAGTACGGCCAACATATGGGTATAATAAAATATATTTAATATTTTATTATTTTCAATTAACTTAATACTTATATATTTCGGTAGTTCTTTAATATACAATAAGAAAAATTAGTAATTTTTTTTAGTTTCAAGAAAATATATATCGTATCGCTGTTGTATATTTACAAAGTGAAGTGACTAATTAAAGAAATCAAAACTAATATTTACCTGATATTTAGAAGTAATTTTTTCTAAAATAATAATGTAATAATTTTATTTTATACTCTTTTAACATATAATTATAGATAATACTTAAAAAACACTCATGTGCCTTTGAAGTAATATGAATTTTTTGTTAATGTGTTATATGGCATGTGAATTTGAAAAGAGATGTTAAAAGTTCAATTTAAAAATTATATATGTTGCTCGACAACAAAAATATCCGTAAAGTATCTTAATATTTAATTATTATTGGATACGTAGAAGATATATCCGATGCGTATTCTCGAATATTCGACGAGTATCGTATTCGATACGGTATCGGATACTGGTACGTCAACCCTAACGAAATATCTGTACTTCATAGCTGGCAACCTGGTGGTTCTGAGCAAAACCATCTTGAACCTAGTAGAAAGCCATCTTTAAGTGGAGTAGAAATCGACTTAAATAATTTGGTGAGAAAAAGTTTAGGATGAAGAGATGATGTAAAAACAATTGACAAGAAAGTCACTTTCCCACGGCTACTTCGGCAGGAAATGGTGACTTCAGTTTTTGTTGTCGAAGCATGCATGAACTCTTAATCTTTCCATGCTACATTTTATAGTACTTGGGCTGGGACTTGCAAAATGAATTGACCTGGGCAGAACAATAGTTTAAAGGGGAGACTTCTTCTTGTACTATTAAAAATGATTGCACTAGCAGCTACTGTTTGTTGTGTCTTGGCTGAGAGGAATCAGAAGACTTTCATCGGCAAGATGAAACATCCTCTAGGAATTCAATTCATTTATATTCAAAAAATGCTAATTGGACAGGAATTGTCATTACATAGGAGATATGGATTGTGAGTCTTTAACAAGGTCTATCAAGTATCAAATACTATTTTTGAAGATTGCTGATTAACACTGCTGCTTTAGAGTTTATGTCTAGGTCATGTTCAGTTGTATAGTTTATTTGTGGCCTCAAGGCTTGCCTAAGGGCTTTTTTGAGGTTTGAGGAGTGTGCATCGTCTCTGATGTTAGAGAACACCCACATTGCTTAGTTTTTTGTTTGCAGCTGTAAGATGCCAAAGATTGATTAGGACCAAGCTATGCACATATTCATGCACATGTATTTCAATGCGGCTTTGTGTTGGGCAATAAATGTGAAGGACTATATTAGAAGAGGAGCAGAATAATTCAAATTGAATGCACTACAAGGTCAAGGTTATAAAAGAAGATGGGTAGAGTTGTGATGGCACATGATTTAGTATAGGAGATAGTCTTTGTCAGAGATAATTGGCTAGAGGTATTCATGTGGCCAACCCTTTTGCGAAACAATTAAATGTCGTTCTTTGTGAGTTAGAGGGAATTGTTTCCCCCTACGTAGGTGACATTTAATGTGTTCAGCTAACAGTTTACCAGAGAGTTTAAAGGATTGTTTCTTTCAGAAACGGACAACAATTAGGTTGATTTGGGTGCAGTATATTATGTACTGGTCGAAAAAAACTCGAATCTAGTTTAGTCCAGATATTAATTGGTCTCGGCTGAAAGAAAGATCGAATCCAGTTTTATGAAACCTGATCGACTGTTTTACTACTGATGCTTACATTTCTAGTGTTATTCTTCTTGTTATGCTCCTTAAACGTTTTATTTGTTCTCTAGTGATTATTGCATGGAATAAACTTGTTTTAGTTTGCTGGTATTGTCCACAGACCGGTTTACAGTCCTCTCATACAATATACTAGCTGATTACCTGGCTATTAATCATCGGAGCAAACTTTACTTTCATATACCTCGTCATATTTTGGACTGGGAGTGGCGGAAAAGAAATATTCTTTTTGAGCTTGGGTTATGGTCAGCTGACATACTGTGCTTTCAGGTTAGCAGTCTGATACATCTATTACATCATGTTTATGCCCTTTACTTTCTTGTGCACATTGAAATATAAACAAGAGATACGACATGGTACTATTTCAAGTGATTGACCCGTATTAGAATAGTTTAAAGATGCTAATCATCTATCCGCTTGAAATGTATGATTTCTGAACATACCTGTATGTTCCAATGTTCTGTGCCTCAGCAAGACTCTATAAAATGTGAGTGTTTGATTGCATTTTTTCAATGGCTTCTAGCCTGTCTAGTTCATTTTGTTTGTAAATAGCTTAAGCTAATTCTGGATGAGGCCCGTAACTAATGTGGGTTCAGCCCCAACTAATCTACTTCTCCATGGATGCTATGTTACCTGAAATGATTAAATCTCAGCATCTAGGCTGATTCGCGGGCATTGCAACCAAAGTATGCAAGCCCAACACGGCTTTGCCTACATTTTTTTATCTCAAGATCCCTCTTGTGCCACCTTTTGCTTTTCACTTTTTCAAAGAACTTTGATCAAATGTTGAGGGCCTCTCCACCCACTATCATTTGGGTTTTGGTTGAATGCTCTACCAGTAACTATTTGTATGTCGTTATTTTGTTTATTATGGTTTTGACAGTAATTGTACTCTGAAATGATTTATGTTTCATTCTCAGGAGGTTGATAGATTTCAAGACTTAGAGGAGGAGTTAAAGATTCGTGGTTATAGTGGCATTTGGAAGGTGTGTTTTCAAGGATGACACAATATTTTTAAGGCTATTTAATGTCTGTTTTCATATCTTAAGCTTGTTTTTTGCTCTACTTGTGTGCATGAATACTTGTATGTGCTTGAGACATTTTTTTAAGCATCGGGGAACAATTTGTTTATCCAGTTGTTTGTAGGATTCCAATACTGTGGCTTGAAAGGTTGATCTCAAAGATATATAGTGAGACTTTGATCAAGGCCCCAAGAAGATTATGGGTCAGATTTTAGGAAGCACGGACACTTAATTATGGCTAGAGTATCGGTGTTGGACATGTTTGGGACACGAACACGCTTCGGACATGTGTCAGACACACTAAAATGAGTGTCCGATTTTTTTATTGTTAAATTTTTTTCAGGACATGTTTTGGACAAGTTGGGGACATGCGACCAAGACGCTCGGCATACGTTGGGAACACGCTCAGGACACGCGGCCAACATGTTGGTGGCATTTTGAGATTTCTTTTTAATTTTATGAGAACTTTTCAGAAAATTTTATAATAAATAGTTATTTTTGTAATTTTAAAGAGATATGAGTCAAAGTCATAATATAAAAGAAGTTATAATCATTACATTGAATATAGGGTATGAGTGTAAAATAATTCTGGAAACAAATACGAACTTATATACACATGGAATAAATTTTTAATATGAAAGTAATTTAGAAAAAATGGAATTACAAAATTGGGCTCTTTGAAATTAATGAAATTAGTGTTATAAAGTGGAATATTTTTTAAATGAAAGTTGTAGTAGTCATTGATTGTTGGATCATGGATGTTAATGTTAAATGTGCATCGGTATATCTTATATTATACTTTTTATGTAGTGATAATATGATGTAAATTTTTAGAATTAGGGAAATGATGAATTAAAAGATAATTTTGATAATATTTTTATGTTATCACTTGATTACACACACACACACATACATGTATACATAAACATACATATTAGTTAACGTATCACCAACGTCTCTGTATCATACTTTTTTGAAATTTTTGTGTTGGCGTGCATGTGTCCATGCTTCTTAGGTCAGAGGGTTTGAAATTTTGTTGTGTGAAATTTTTATCAAAACTAAGGGGAGATTGATTTGGTAAGGGGAAGATGTCTTTGTTCTTGCATATGTATGTTCATCATTAGCTGGTCCACTAGTTCTTCTGTGGGGTATGGATATCAACTGTACTGTTAATACAACTTATTAAATAAAAGCATGCGCAGCTCCTATACAAGTGGATTCGAAAATAAACTTATTAGGATAGAAGACAGAAGTATATGAAGTAAGGTGTATACAAGAAAAAAAAGAACTCTTTGTAAGTACAACAAAGAAGCACGAGCCAATATCAAAGCGAAAATGGGACGGGCACGCTGCTTAGGAAAGCAGGGGAAGGAAGTGATATCTGAATTGGATTTTGATCTTGGAGGTTGAGGTTTGAGTCTTGTCCACGTTGATCTCCAAAAATTAAGATAGAAAAATAACATCCTGTTCTCCATTAATCAGGGTCTGCAAGGGATAGACTGCCTTTGGCGTTAGTTGGACAAAATGACTACATTAACTCCAAAATATTGTATGCTGTATGAAATTCAGTGCGTGTGTTTGTAATTGTATAAGCAGCAGGTAGTTTCTATCAAAGCTTATAGAGTTACTGGTGCACCTCTTAGTTACGTTATTTAGAAAGGGTAATCTATATATTGATGTTGGCTATGCTATCTGCATCACTGCATAGCCCTCATTTGCGGGAGTTAATATTGTGTAGCACACTATACTAGAAGGGGGTTGGGGTAGGTATGCTTATGCTTCTAAAATCATACTTGCTTCCCTTTGTGTCTCTAAGTCTTTGACAACTAGCTACTGCAGCCAAGTTCCAGAACTTGTCAACTTTTTGATCCAAATTCGGTAATCTGCTGTTATGTTTATTGGCAGTCTGGCTGAATGTTTTCAGAGTTGTAATAGTTAGTTTTGCGTATTATATGCTTCCCAGAGATGCGGCCCCCTTCCTCTGTCCTCCCAAGCCTGAAAATGAAATCAATAGCTGAATACTTATTGTCTTTTTTGTAAATTTGTTGTAGATGCGAACTGGTGAACCAGTTGATGGTTGTGCAATATTTTGGCGAGAGTCAAGGTATTATGATCCTTTCTTTCATGCTGCTGATTTGTGGACATTAATGCTTGAAATTCATTTTGTTTCTTTAGGGTTGATAGTGATGTGGACTCATTTGCAATGCTGCATGTTGTCTACTGCCCAAAGCACCATTAGATCGTCACTCTCTTTGCTTTTATTTTATATTTTTTTTGTGGCTATGCAACATCTTGTCAGGTGATCAGTAAGTTGACGTAAGAATCACCTGATTTATTATGCCGCTGCTATATATCACTGTCATTTTTCAATTTGTGCAAACTAAGTGTTTCTACAAAGAATCAGGTTCAGCAACTCATTTTTTTCAGACCCAAAACTATGTTGGGTTTATTACAGAACTTATGTTGCTATTCCACTGGTGTTATAACGAGTTACATAAATTTGTTGCACATTTTTTCTTTGTAAACTTGCCTCTGAGGAATGCCTTGTTTTGAGTAGTAATGCATTCATAATCACTTGATTTTTGGGTTATCTTTCATAATATTTCAGCTTTTTGCTTTGTGTAATGGTTTTCCAAGCACCCAGCCTGCTGCTTTCACACACCAACTGCTGCTTGTGAATCATTTGTCCTGAACACTTTGTAGTTATGACTCAAGCATGTTCCCCATATAACCACTATTTATTTACTCTATGTTTGTTGGGTTGAGGTTAGCTTTGGCCAGTGAAATCTTTACGAATTCAGAATGCCAAGATTTGAAGTTCAAGGCCTGTAAGGGTGCGTTTGGTTAGAGAGAAAAGGATGGTACATAGTGAAAATAGTAGAAAATGAAGTGAACGAAAGGAAAATGAAAAGAAAACATATTTTCTTTTATGTGTTTGTTTAGAATGAAATTTTTTCTAGAAAGTCATAAGAAAATTTCGGATTAAAAAATTTGAAAAGTATGAAAACTACAAGAAAATTATTCTACTTACTAAATTACCCTTGTTCTCTTTAGACTATAGTTATCAAACCCGGACCGGACACTAACACAATAAAAGAGGGTGGGTTAATGAGTCACTGGTTCAATCATTGGATCATTGGGTCAACTGGTCAAATATAGAAAATAAAAAATAATTAAAAGTAATGATAAATATATTATGAAACTGTATAACAGAGATAATATATTATACCAAATAAAATCTCTTAGCCACGTCACTATCATATTATGGGTAAAGGGTCTTAATGTCTTCTCAACCCTTCACAATCGTTTGTGTATTCCTTTTTCACAGTTTGGTGTTGACATATCCGACCTATTGCTTGCAAGATTTGTTTATTTGTGCTCCCCTTGTTCTGATTTGGTGCGAACTAGATGGTATTCTCATGGAAAGATTTGATTTGGTAAAGTGGGTACCGCAAGAAGGGGGAGGACAAGGCTCAAGTATTGATTCTTTTGTTGGCCAACTTTGGCCAAAGATGGAAGCCATATGGCCCATATCCATCAAGTGAGACCATTCACAGATGGAGGCCATAATCGCAGCCTGAGGCCATTTCACAACCAATTTTTTTTGCCTTTTTCTCTTATGTTTTGCTATTTCAGTGGGTAATTGGTTGAAACAACTCGTCCGGGTCGTACAGTTTACTCTATACTCGACAGGGTTTTTGGGTCTTAACGGGTCTTGTGTAGAAACAATCCAAATACTAAACCGGACTAGTCTTGGTGTTGTGTCAACGGTCACTGGGTTGACTTGCCGGTCCGGTCCAAGTTTAATTACACTGCTTTTGACAATATAATTAACCAAAATTTTTTTTTTTCTTTCCATTTGTGGGTATGTTGTTAGAGAAGTCATATTATGTCTATGTCATGTCATGTCATGTCATGTTAAAAAATTTATTTAATTAATATATAACCTATATTTAAAATCGTGTATAGTCGGCTTCGTATCGGCTCATCTCGTGTTACGTTTACGAGGTTCATCTTGTATAATATGTGACCCATATTATATTGTTTACGGTTTATATAGGTTGTATTTTATCAAATTCATCTCGTGGTTAACAATATTCATGTCAACTTATTTATTTGACGGGTTTAGCACCTTGACCCGTTTACCTACAAACCCACTAAGGTTTTATTCAAACCCAGTAATTTTGTATCGATTTGATGATGGGTTTGCAAATCACGTTCAGAATTGGTAATCCTAATTGTTATGGTAAAATTAAATTCCCAATTGAAAATAATAGACCTAATCTAACCAAGACACTAAATAAAATAATTTCACTTTTTTAGCTACAATAGGTTTTGAGTTCTTGTTCATTGACACAAGAATCTTTGTTGAAGCCATTTGATGAAAATGGGATGTGGAGAAAGATAACCATGCAAGATGGTTGTTGCCAACTTGCAAGGGGAAAATAAAATTTCTCCACACATTTGGCAAGAACCAAGAGTCACATTTACATGCAACATGGGTTGTATGGGAAAGTTCATTTTCTTCCATTCTCTTCCATTTTCATGCTAAACAAACACGGAAAAAGTTGATTTTTTTCTCCTTCCTTCATTTTTCAACATTTCCCTGCTAAACAAACAAAGCCTAAAGTGATTTGTCAAGGCCTTGCTATATGTTTGACTGGCTTTAATTAAATTTTTTCAAGCTGCATCTCAAAGTTCAACAGACAACCATAAGCATTGGGCAATAAACATGGCAGTAAAGCAAGCAGTTTTGAATTTACATACTCTTAGTTAGTTCGTCGAGGAGGAAATCTTGCTGCATGAGATTAGGGCGTGTTACACTGCTTTGTAGCATCTTGGGCTTTTAGAGTATTTGTTTGCTAAAAATTTATTATGATCATGGTGAACTTTTGATAGTTTTTGGCATTCAAACTTCCATTTTCATAAAATGTGGGTTCTCAATCACTTGAAGTCAACCTGAACAGTTTTTTTGACTTGATGCATCCCATAAGTGACGATTATCTGGATACTGTTTATGAGTTTGGGAAGTAAGCTGATTAGATTTGTGTTTCATGGTTAATTGTTGTTTTTTGTTATAAAGTACCAATGCTCTGATGATATCATAACTGGTTGGCATATTTGATTTTGCAATGCTATCTATTTGTCAGATTCAAGTTGCTGCAAGAGGAATTTATTGAATTCAGTAAGCTTGGACTTCGGGATAATGTTGCTCAGATATGTGTGTTCGAGGTATGCTGGATCTTCAAATCCTTTTGCCAATAATTCATATTCTCTGACATTATGGTATAGTTTCGATAATTCATATCTCAAGTTCCTTTATCATTTTAATTTATTTTATTTTGTTATACAGTCAATGAAGCTGAATGATAATAATTATGCATCAGCTCTACCAGGAAGGTAATTATTGATCTGTTGTCTTCATTCTATTCCATTTTTGTTGTACATCATTTTTCAATGACAAATTGCTATATAATTTTTCTGCTATAGGTAAAAATGAATCTCGATGGCCAAGAATCTGAATGACTTTTGAGATATACTGTACAATATATGCCGCTCATCAAGTCAGAAGTCGCAATTAGAAACCCAAAAATTTAGTTGAAATTGGGTGCTGATACTTGAGCATTATAATAAATGATGTTTTATTCAGTACACAGTTAACAAGATGGTGGAAATGGAAGAAAGTGTAAAAAATTAAATTGCCAATGTACTGCGGAGTTATAGGACCGACAAAATATCTATTAAAAGAAAGTTATACGAGCCAAGAAGTGTTGTCATAGGAGTTTATGTCATTGTCTTTTCCTAAATAGAACTATTTATTAATTCGATATAATTTTATTCACATTCTTGTGAAGATAACATGCAATGTCATGGAAAGATGGTGAATAATGAAGAGTTTAATTCCAGAGAAATGTAAACTTGAAAGTAAAAATAGTTGAATTTTCATTGACAATCTGAGTGTCCAAAATGGGCATCTCCTTGTTTGTTAAATACAGGCTTACTTGTTTTGCATGTAAACAATGCCTTGGAATTTACCAAATTAACTTTTGTGAGAGTCACTAGCTTTAAAAACTGAATGGTAATTTTGGCAACAAATTTTGCGTCTTCTTATATTTTGTTATCTTTTTGAATTGTAAGAAGTATAGCGGTCGTTGATACTTTCGAGATTTCCCTGCTCAATTAGCTCAACAATCGACACGCAGTATTCAATATTAGATGTGAAGCTAATGAATTTACCAGAGTGAAAATTATATTCTTCAGATGAGCATGTAAGATTACAATAGAAGGCAGGCAAGTTTTGTATGGACTGACATACACAAGTGACAAATAAATCGACTTCAACACATATAATACAAGGGATGATGGTGAAATTCTTTCCACAAAGTCTATCCAAATAAAATCGGTGCAAAACCTGTTAGAAGCATGCACTTAAGTTTTCATTATTCATGACCATTGTGATTCTCAACATCATTCGCAATTGTGGAGGCAACAATAATTATAGGAATGGGAATGCATATATGCCCTTTGGCTGCTAGTTGATGTACCATTGAGTTAGAACAGTCCATTGTTTTCCAGGCAACATTTGAGCAAATAATGCTAGCAGAATACGTTGGGTGGGGAAATGCTTATGTGTGCTTCAGCTGTGTCATAGTGGGACCAAGTTGAAAACATTATGTTCTGCATAGCATCTATTCGCGCGGGTTTAAGTGTGTAGTGTAGTGTTTTATTGTTACAGCCATTAATGTGCAGCTCAGTTTGTTTTGGAACTATTTATGAAGTTCAGTACTTTTTGGTCCTTGTTAACCGAGGTACAGGGAATGATGGACTTGATATTGATCCAACCTTTGGTGTTGCATCTACAAAGTGGTTGTCTTAGATTTGAGGCTATAATCTAGTGGTTGTTAGCTTGAGCATTCTATCAGTGCAGTAGATTGTTCGAGTTCTTTTATATTATATTAGTTATAATGGTTTAGTATAAGGGTAATATTGCAATTATCCTCAATCACTGTCTAATATAAATGAGAGAGGGCACATTGCTGACACTACAAGATTATAATTCCTCAGCTGCCTTCTCTCTTTCTCTTCCCTCTTCTTCTTTTCTCTCCTTATTTCTCAAACCCTAATACCTGGTTTATAGATTCAACTTAGATAATGATGGTTTTTGTACTATTTCCCTATTAAGAAACTGGGGGTTGAGTTTTCTTGAGAGCTTTTGCACATGCAATTTGGATCCTTCGCAATGTGTGGTATGCGTTGGACTGTGGAGTACATTGTCTGAACATCTTCCCTGCCCAACAAAATCTAAAAATAAAGAAGGGACAGGATTGTGACATGACCGTCATTGCTAATACTAATCTCAAGGTGTAGTATTTGTATAGATATTGCATAAAATGTTCATTGTTGAAACTAATTTTTAGAAAATATGAGTTTTTGAGTTGCAATTACAATTTCCTCATAATGATATGATTATATCTTTGTAACGTGCTTGTAGTTGTAGTAGCTTTGATGGCATTCATCTCTTTATTGCATCTTTTCTTTTCATCTCTCTGTTCTATATCTGCAGCTCAGCAGGTTCTAATAGAGTTGTTATATGTAACATTCACGTGCTTTACAATCCCAAAAGGGGGGAGATTAAGCTTGGCCAGGTATTTACTATTTGTAAATAGGCTTTGTGGACAATTTGGAACCATCTTATTCTCTTTATGACCATGAAAGTTGGTCACAGATTTCTATTTCTATCTGATTTGAGTATTTGTTTACTAGAATAACATGATCGTGTAATATGGTTAGTCCATATTTCACAAGTGAGGAACAGTAGCAGTAAATTAGAATAGTCCGTCTCACTTAACTAAAAATGTATCTCTGTGCATAGAAGCATTTAGATAGTCATTTGTTGGTCTCAATGTTCAAATGTTTGAGGACTGGAACAAATTCAGATCAACCGTTGAACCTTTGGAGTCTGCACTTTTTTCTTTTATCTTTTGTTTGACTCCCTAGACTTTGATGAGCCGAATTATTATAGTTACAAGTTGTGTCTTGTTTATGTGCAAGTGCTTTTAGCTAGATGTTTTATCAAAGCAACAGTGGGAATATAAGGAATGAGTGGTGCATATAGGCTCATTTTATTGCTGCAATATGATATGGGTTGTACCAAAGGATATGAACTGTCAAAACTTAGGTCAAGAGACATGAGATAATCTGTTTTTGTATTCTCTTTGGACCCTGTACCTCTCCACTTATCAATTCCTTGCTTATTTGGTGATGGCCTTAAGATTGGGAACAAGGGACTTTTTTTCCTTGGAGGTAAAACTACGGTGGTGGGGGCGAGCGGAGTTGCTCATAGTAACCTTTGTACCTTATTTGAGGAAGAAGAAATAGCTAACGCATGCACCACATGGTCCATCTCATGAGGATATGTACTTTATCAAGTCTTGCAAATAATTGGGAATCTTAGAATTTCCTTGATGAATGGTACAAATCTAGCACATGTATTGTGTTACTCACTAACAATTTCCTTGATGATTTTTCTGACGTACTGTCTCTTTACTTCTCTTTATGTTTCTTTGATTTTTTTTTCCTTTTTATGCACTCTGCTCTTTTTATCTGATCGCCTGCAAGATAAGAGTGCCCAAGATCTGTTGTAAGGGCCCAGAGATTGGATGCATAAAAGTGGGGCTATGTTTCCTCCTTAAGGTTCTTAAATGTACACCATGCCATGCCCCTCTTAAAAGTGGTGGGCCCTCTTAACAGTTCTTTGACTCCATATTTACTTGTTGCATGGGTACTGCTATGCTTCAACTTCCATCTACCTGGTGATATCACATATGCTTTGCCAAGTTGAAGCAAAAATGCTCCATCTTAAGTTCTTGTCCTTCTGCAATTAGAAATTTTCTCTTTCTTGAAATATTATTTCTTCTTCTTCTCTCTCTCTCTGTGTATTCAATTGGCTTTGTCACTGTTGCTTCATCAGTATATTGCTATAGTTTTTGTGGATCCTGGTTTGCTTAAATGAAACATGGAGATTTCTAAGATTAATTGAATTTGAAATTGGAGCATTGTGTTCTTCATGATTACTATCAGATTGAAATTTACTTTATGCAGTGTAAAGTTATTTATGTACCTGTGGATGGCCTAATTTTTCATTTGCAGATGCCTTACCCCATTGAGCTAGATAAACCCATAGGTACTGTTCATTTAACTACTACTTACATTCTCTACATCTCTTACAAACAGATTAGGGTGCTTCTGGATAGGGCATATGCTGTATCAAAGCTTTGGGACGATGCTCCTGTGGTTCTTTGTGGGGATTTTAACTGTACCCCAAAGGTAGGTTTTCTTGATCTTCACTTCAGTTGCTTCCATTTTATGAACTGACTCTGTTTTGATATATAGTTTCGTCTTTTATTCTGATTTCCTTGTAATGTATTATGTTAATAACTTCCTTGCCTTTTTATCAGAGTCCATTGTACAACTTTATATCAGAACAGAAGGTAGAGTGTTAGTGTGTTGGATTTGCTTCTATTTCTGGTTATTGAGAGATACTCTAGTTGGGTCATTATATTAGCCGTGTTCCTGTGTTGCAGTTGGATTTGTCTGAACTTCCTAGAGATAAGATATCGGGACAAGCTTCCGCTGTAATTGGTCCACCAAGGCCCTTTATCTCTAATTTCAGGTGTGAGTTTTATTAGTTAAATTTTCCATGAGATCAGAGAGGTTTTGTTGCATTCCTAAATTTCAAGCTGAGGGGCTTACACTTTATTGTAGCTCAGCCTGTAATAATTCAGTTCAAACTTGAATAATGGTTGATTACAGGGAACCCAGGCAGAATTACTCCCCTATAGACATGCAGAAACAGAATGGACTTGGTTGCTCTTCGGAAACTGTACATTTTAGCAGCAGCAGCAGCAGCTTGTCTCAGCCTGAATGCTTGGGTGCTGTAGGGAATATGTCTGCCAGTTCATGCATCAATAGGCAACATGAAAATGTGAACAGTGCATTGTCTGATGAACCAACAGAAGAAACTCATCAGGGCAGACAAGATGGTTGTGAGGATGAAACTGAATCGGTGCATAATGTTTCGGTTTGTGATCAAAAGGAAAGTCCAATTATTTATCATGATGGAGGCAGGTGTTCTGTTGATCCAATGAAAGACGGAGTTGATGAATTTACTCCAGTTGATTCTCATCATGAAGATAGTTACCCTGATGACAATCAGATGGATCATGGAGCAGATATACATGACGCGTCTAATTCATCATGTAATTTATCAATTGAACTTTCTCTGTCGAATTTAAATTCAGAAGATGCAAGCTTGAACAGTGAAAAGGGTAAACTCTGCTTTGAGGGTGATAATTATTCTGCTGATGCCATATCTGATCATGGGCCTGTGAGCACTATCAAATCAGATGTATCTTTATCCAATGTGTTGCTTGAAACTTCCTTTCCCGGTGTTCCTGAAGAGTGTCCTATTGGAAGCTCAAGAAATTTATCATCTTTCCCTGACACCAATGAGGAGGCTTGCCCATCAACTTCATATGAAGATGATATCGCATTGAAGTCTGCGTGCATTAACTCCTTGGTGGATGAGAAAATGGAGAACTTATCACTTAGTGAACTTGTTGAAGCCACAAAGGAACATGGAACTCCAGGTGAAGACTGTACAGTATTTTTATCTGAGTTACACAATACTAATGGTGGATTTCCATCTGCCTTTGGTCAATTTCCAAGATCTGATTCCGTGGAATGCAACGAGTCCTCTGAGGCCTGTCTTGCTCTTCCTGGTGGCCAGTTATTGGACGATTATCCTGGCATAGACTCTGAGCCTTTCAATGTAGAGAAAACTCCTTATGATCCATCAGCATGGACTCCAATGGAAATAGAAACTGCATCGGGCAGTTCCGACTGCACTTATTTGGATCACCCTCTACAGCTGAGAAGCACATACGCTGAAGTTGAGGTATATAATATATTCTTAATTTGTGTTTATTTTTCTGCTACCTCTCTACTTCAATGTAAATGATGATTTTGTTCATTGCTTAACCTTGGTAACATCGAGGAGTCTGGTTCTCTATCCTTCAGGATTTGTCAGGGAGGAGGGACTCAAATGGTGAACCCCTAGTCACCAGCTACAATAGGTGTTTCTTAGGCACAGTTGACTACATATGGTGAGTGTTCAACATGGCATTCTTCTGATGCAATTTTCAATGCCGGCTTCTGCATTGTTCAGATTAAATCCATACTTTTTTTTATCAAGCTAGAGTAATGTCTTCTGAAGAATTTGTTGTACCTTTGTTTCTTGTGGTATTCTCTGTGGCCTGGGGTTTTTTTCTTCAAATTGAGATCTCATGATCTCTATTTCTGGTTCAGTAGTATGCTAAATAACACTGAAGCAGTGAGTTGTATGTTTTGACCTGCAGGCGTTCTGAAGGTCTTCAAACCATAAGGGTCCTTGCTCCGATGGCAAAACATACTATGCTATGGACACCTGGATTCCCTACGAAGGTACAGTTGGTGATCAAATTTTGAATACCTCCTTTATATGACAACTGAATTATATCACGCCTATAGTGCGAACAACACTTTCAAATACATTTATGGCTACAGTTCTGTTGATGATCTTTCAAAACCTCAAATTTTCATGTGAGATTATCTTGGGAAAGACTCTACACTTACGAGTAGACATATGTAGGTATACATGTGCATTGAGATGATAATGACACACACATTCTTATAGTTATAGAAGTTCAGTACGAATATTTATTCAATTGTGAGTTTTCTTTTTATTCTTGAGAACATTTTCTTACACATAAGTTAAAAGAACATGGAAAAGTGTTGCAAAGAAGCTCATGTGGTCCAATTATTGGTGGCTTTGGTGACCACTTACATTCGATCTTCCTTGAAGTCATACTCTTCAAAATCTAGTACATGGGCATTAAATTTGATGCCGAGGGAAAATCAGGTGCATGATAGCAGTATAAGAAAAACTTGGTAAAAAGAGATGTTAACTAGTTCGTAGATCGATTTGGTAAGCGGTTACAGGTGCACGATACGGTACTTCTTTCAAAGCCCAGTGTGGTGGACTGGTTGGGGAGACTTAGTTGCTATGCTGTTTTGGATCATTGTTCATTTTTAACTCTTGTCTGGATCGTTTTCATTGTTACATTAATTTATATATATTTACACATTATTTTATATTTTATAATCCAGTACATTACACTTGTACTGACAAATAGTTAAAGATAATAAATGCTAATGGTTGCATATTTATATTGTGAAAAACTTCGAATCAAAACTAATTTAATTTTAAGTTTAAAGAAATAACAAGTTAGGGTTAAAATTTGACGACGTGATTATAATTTCTTATTACCTGAATCATGAGTTGATTTAGGATTTGAGTTACAATTTGAGATCAGGAATTTGAGCCATCTGAATCGCGAACCCACCTCTTTTCGGGTCAAGTGACAATAGTTCTTGGGACGCTAGGAGTATATATGATCCCGATATCTATGGGTAAAAGGTCAAAAACAAGTAAGATAATGATGGAATTCCTCCATCTGCTTGAACATCTTTGTTTTCTGGAACTGCATTTTGTGGACTATCTAGTGGTGCTCTCAATTTGCAGATCTGTGAATTTAGATCAAAAGAAATTGCCTAATTGTGGACCAACTGTCTTTGTGCTGATGTGAATTGCACAATGAGTTGTAGCCTATGATAACATGCATTCTACCCCATGAATCCCTATGTCACCCAATTGATTCTTTGCATTATTATAATGCTCCCTCCCTCTCTAAATTACCTTTAAAGTGTCTATCTCTCGTATCTATGCTTGTTAGTCATTGGCTGATCAACATGCAAATTTAAGTAAAAACAATAGGTGTTTGTAGATTATGTTTTTGGTAGAGCATTGCAAGATCAAGAGGCTTTTTTGTAGCAACATGATAGGAAGATTTGTTTTGACGTAATTTTGACTAGCTTTCGTGGTACTCAGGATACGTGCAAATTGTTGTGCTGAATTATATTAACTACTCTTATAAGAAAAAAACAAGTGTCAATTGACAGCAAAAACAATTTCATGTATCTTTTGTTGTAGAACTTATTTACCCAAAAAAAAAAAAACAATTTCATGTCATATGGTAGAGAGAGAGAGAGAGAGAGAGAGAGAGAGAAGGCTTGTGAGTTTGGAGAGTTGAAGAGTGGTTATAATCAGTTTATTAGGTTTGAGACTTTAGAGAGTTTAAAGGGTGGTTACAATGGGAGAGGGATGAGGAAGTTGGTTAGCGGGTCTTGGTAGTTAAACATACTGTGCAATCAACTACCATTATGTATTAATCAGCTATTAATTAAGGGGGAGTACACCAGACCCCACCTTTGCCCTTAATTAAGCGTATAGATATTTGTTTCAAGACTTGTATCTTAATCAATAAGTTAGGACATTAGTTAATAGACTGCTGAAGTTCTAGTTAGCAATCTCCACCTTCTGGCAATTATTTGCTTTCTTATGTGATATACTTATAGATATATGCACAAAATGCTACACGCTCGTACTTTATTATTTTCAAGTACACTGTTTCCCTTCTCCTATATGAAGCCATCACTAAATGTGGTCCTGCTTACTCAAAGTTCTAGAATGGTAAAGTAGATACATACCTAACCTTTTGCATACTTTGGCGTATAGTGGGACTTGGAGGCTTGAACTTCCATTCTCATAGTTGACAGTCAAAGCACTTTGCCAGTCAACCAACCAACGACCCCAAATGCAGTTTTATAAAGATAGGTCTATCTTGAAGAACCCTTATTTGGCATCATATCTTTCCTGCATTAAATTGCATTCTTAAAGAGGTGCCCCTTTGTGTGTGTGTGTGAGAGAGAGAGAGAGAGAGTGGTTACCTAACTCAGTTTATTGCAGTTCGTATTTGATTAATGGCTTAGTTTTTGGCTGGTTTTCAGAAATGGGGAAGTGATCATATTGCCTTGGTTTCTGAATTGGCTTTCACAAAAGATGCGATCACCGAGAATGAGGAAGTTCGGTAGTTGACTAGTCTCGCTCTCGCATCAAGTTGAAGAAGTTCAGTATTTGAATTGTCAGCTCCCAGCAGTGTTAAGTTAGTGTCGATCTTGTACCATTCTTTTTGTAAATGTTTTTGTTGTATATATCTTGTACATTTTCTGATTCTTCGAAGACATTTTCTATCCCAAAAAAGGGGTCTATATACGATTTTGAGTGGTAGAAGTGCTATAATCGATTCTGCTGGTGTTCTAACAAGCAGTGGTGTTTGTCTTGAATGTATTCTTCTGTCTTCACCGATAATTAGAAGAAAAATGATATGTATCTCTAGGTTTTATTAACTGTTTACATGTACATGGACAGTTTGTGATTAGCTCTTTGTTTTGGGAAAGACAAGTGACAAGAAACTTGAGTGGAACCGTGGGTAAAGGGTTAAGAAACGGTTGGGTTTGGAAATAGGCAGATGCAGTAAGGGACAAGGGCCCACCCTCAACTGATTTTTGAAGATTTTATATATGTATACTTAATATATATATTTTGAACACTATTTAAATATATAGCTTATTGTGGCCACCCTATCACTACCCTCTTTATAAAGTATTTTTCTAAAAATATTGGCGGTGATTGTTCTATAATTACAAGTTTAGTTAGTTTTGTTATTTTGAAACTTTCTTTAATGGACTTTGATTTATATATTTACGAGTTTTTTGGTTCTATATTCTTATTTAGAAGTGAAATTATTTAAAAATATTCTACAATTAGCCTTTATTTTCTTACAGTTTACGGTCTCTATTTTTCTATGACTTGAAAAATATTTTTCAATCATACTTATAATGAAATTATCATACAATGGCTTCAAATGTATTGGAGTCAATTGCATAGTTTTTATAAAAATTATATTCAGTCTTTCTTTTTGGTTTGTAAATTACAAATTTGAGGTCTTTTGTGTTTAATCAATTTTTATGTATCATATATGATGTAATAAATATAATTTTCTTATCGATTGGAAGAAAAAAAAATTAAATCTTGTAGTTAGAGAGTTTAAAATTATTTCATTTTGTTACATTATTATAAATAGATAATGTGTTTAATTTTAAAAGGTAAATAAAAAAAAAATTAGCCAACACAAAATGTGAATAAAAAAATAATTAATACTATCAAAAAAGTGTTTTGCCATATTTAATAGGACTGCAATGTGCAACGCCTGTGACATTCGAAAGAAAAGGTCACTAGATATGTGAACATGGATGTGACCATGTGAAACTATAAAGAGATGCTCTTTTTCTAAAAAAAAAAGAAAAGGCAAACAAAAGAATGAACAATACAGAAGTGCGAGATGAGGTGGAAAGCAAAGAGAAATTTATTTTATTTATTTTTTAATTGGTTAATGGAGAAATTCAAATTCAAATTCAAGTAAAGGAAATCAACCCCCCCAAATTCTTTAAAAAAAAAAAAAAACTCTTCTTGTACATACCATTCTATTTTCATCAAACAAATTAGGGTAAGGTACTAAGGTTACAATACAAAAGAATTATGTTTCTATATCATATTAAAAATTATTACAAAATAAATTTATTTAGAATTGGTTTGATATTTTAATATATTTTTTAATTTATTTATAGTAACTTGATCTATTAAATTATAATTTGATTCAAATAAGTTATAAATAATTATTTTTTATTTTGCAACATTCGATAGAGTAGCTGGATCATCATGTAGACTCACCCAACACATTAATGTTTTATGTCAAAAGGGATATTAAAAAAAGAGAAAGAGATTGTAGAAACAAGTCACCAGGTCAAGAAAAAAGCCCGTGCTCGCTTTTATCTTACTGTCCATTTATTTAGTGGGAGTATGATAAAAAATAAAATAAAGAGAAATTTTCAAAAAAATTTATGTATTATGTTAGCATAAAATAAAAAATGATGAAAAAAATAATTTTCTTTCATACTTGAATTTTCTCATATTTAACCAACTTTTTTTTCTTGTTAAAAATGAAAGAAAATTGTGATCTATAACTAACTTTCCATTTTACCCTTATTTTTTAAAAAATATTTTATTGGTTATTAATTTAAAAAATATTGGTATGGATTTGATTAACCATACAATTTGGTCCAAAATCTTTCGTGTTGGTGCTTGTCTTAAAATTAGGTTACGAGTCATTTTTTAACTTTAAATTATAGTACATATTTTTTTAGACTGATTTAATATAATTAAGATAATTTAGACTATTAAAAAAAATTTTCTTATAACTTTCTTTGTTTCAAACAATATAATGAATTTTTTTTACAATTTTCTTGCAAGTTTTTCATCCTAATCAAATATATGCATGAAAATATATTTTTCATCATTTTTTTTCTTTTACTTGAGTTTCTATCATTTTCATTTTACATCATTCTTTTCTTCCTGGCCAAGTGAACCCTTAAAAGTAAGGCTATTGGAATCTAATTTAAAACAAGAGCTAATAGAAGATTAACAGTAAATTTTAATATTGAATAAAGTTTTTCTCACTATTAATATCAATCACATAATGTATTAAATCTCAATATTAATTACAAAAAATATCCATTATGATAAGTCTACTGTAGCAAAGGAGGTTCCATATCATATAACATTTAAGGGTCAATTTATGTCAAAAAGTTATAATCATTTCACTAAAAACACACATCGGCCAAATTAAAACTCAAAAAATGAGCTCTATTTGCAGTGTGAATGATTGACTTTTGACTAGATCGAAAATGAGATTAATCGAAATATGTTTAAACTAATTGAGATATTCTTGATCGGTTGAGCAAGTATAAACCCAATTAATTGTAATTTGACTCTTAGAACTTGTAACTTTAACACTCAAATAATTTTTGATGCAACTTTAAGAGTAGTTTAAGTAGTAATAGAGACGAACTGTAAATTTATACATCTTGAATTCAAATTTTGAAAACTCTTAACATTAGGCCAAGAAAGATTTATCTTTCATAAATATCTTAGTTCCGACGTATTCGATTTATCCTCGAACACTCTTGATTATTAAAAAATAATAATAATAATAATTTTTGATATAATCCTAAAAATCCACCCATATCTCCAATTCCAGTATGACTTGTTCGATTTGATTACGCAACTCAACTATACATATCACGAGATAAAGAGATCAACAAAAGATCAGCAGACCAGACCAGAGAAGTGGGGAACTTACAATCGTCGAGTACAGCAGAGTAGAGTAGGGCCAAAACACATATGCAGATGCAGGCCTTCTCTTGTCACATCAGAAACTGTTTGGATTTATCCCCCGATTTTGAAATTTCATATGTCCCCACCAACCACCTCTTGTTTTTGCCTCAGCGTTGCTTAATGCTTGTTAGTTGTTAAGCTCACAGTTGCATAGCAAAACAAACACCGCACGTTGTTGACAACTCATTAAGTTCCACACTGTCGCTACACTCCCTCCTTTATTATTAAATTAAAGACAATTTCAAAACCACAAATCTCTCTCCACCCTACATGTCTCTATATATGTAACTTGTTCTTCCTATGATCTCTCTGTGTCTGTCTATCTCTACACATTGGTTTATCAGGCGAGGATTAGGGGGAGCTTTGGTCAGATTTATCATCGTTCAAGGTCAGTTTTATGATCTGGGTTTCTCTTTAAATTCAATTTTCTCTACTGTGTCTGTTGTACTTTTCTCCTAAATTACTGGATTTTCGTTCAAGGTCAGTTTCATGATCTGTGCGTCTTTCTAAATTTAATTTTCTCTACTTGGTCTGTTGTATTTGTCTAATTAAAATAGTGGGTTTGATCATTTGTCTGATTTTGTTTTGATTATAACATTCTTTAGATCTGATGTAGGATTCATAGATGAATATAGTTTGTCTACATTTATGCTGAAGTTCATTATTTTTTTTTTGTGGTTTTAGTGATATTGGATCTTCGATTTTGCAGGGATTGTCTCTCTTTGAGCTGCATTTTCCGATTCTCTGTTGCAACTTTCTCCTCTAAAAGTTCCCTGTTTCATCTCAAGTTTGACCTAGGCATTTTTTGGTAATCTTTTTTCTTGTTAGTCTATAGATCTCAGAAAATCCAATTTTAAGTGGCTTTTTTAATTTGCTTGGTGTTCCCAATCATAAGCAACTAGCTAATCTAGATTTTACTTGGTACCCGGATCTTAGATCTCCATTTTCCTTTTTTTTTTTCAGCTAGTAGAGATTTTACTTGGTAACCGGATCTTAGTTTTCGATTTTCCATCTTCATTTTCAGAGGTATGTTTTAAGATTTGTGCCTTTGAACTAGGAAATAACCAGTCTTGGTTTGAGGGAATTAGTTGAGTTGTTTGATTTGATCAATTTTGGTACTACCCAAATCTTCGGACTGCTTCTGAAATGAGTGAATCAAAGCCAAATACACCCTTGATTCCAGCATCTTCGGCACGAAAGCTTCCTGATTTCAAACAGTCTATCAAGTTGAAATATGTGAAATTGGGATATCATTACCTCATTACTCATGGGATGTACCTGTTTTTATCCCCACTCATCGTTGTTATTGTGGCTCAGCTGTCTACCTTCTCACTCCAAGACCTCTATGCTCTTTGGGACCAACTTAGATTCAATCTTGTATCGGTGATTCTATGTTCAACCCTTCTGGTTTTCTTGTCAACTCTTTTTTTTCTTACTCGTCCTCGTCCAGTTTACCTTGTGAATTTCTCCTGCTATAAACCTGATGATGCTCGGAAATGCACGAGGCAGATTTTCGTGGAGAGATCCCGGTTGACTGGATCATTCACTGAGGAAAACATTCAGTTCCAAAGAAAAATTCTTGAGAGGTCCGGTCTTGGTGAGTCAACTTACCTTCCTGAAGCTGTCCTTAGAGTACCTCCAAATCCGTGTATGGCAGAAGCTAGAAAAGAAGCCGAGGCTGTAATGTTTGGTGCCATTGATGAGCTCTTTGCCAAAACTTCTGTAAAGCCAAAAGACATTGGGATTTTAGTGGTGAATTGCAGCTTGTTTAATCCCACCCCTTCTTTGTCTGCTATGGTTGTTAATCATTACAAACTTCGAGGGAATATTGTTAGTTATAACCTAGGTGGGATGGGTTGTAGTGCTGGTTTGATCTCAATTGATCTTGCTAAAGATCTTCTTCAAGTCCATCCCAATTCATATGCCTTAGTAATTAGCATGGAAAACATCACTTTGAATTGGTATTTTGGGAATGATAGATCGATGCTTGTTTCAAATTGCTTATTTCGGATGGGAGGGGCTGCAATTTTGCTTTCGAACAAGAGGTCTGATCGACGACGATCCAAGTATCAGTTGGTCCACACTGTCAGAACCAATAAAGGTTCAGACGATAAATGTTTTTCATGTGTTACCCAAATGGAGGATTCCACTGGCAAGGTTGGAGTTTCTTTGTCGAAGGATCTGATGGCTGTTGCAGGGGATGCTTTGAAGACTAATATCACTACATTGGGCCCTCTTGTGCTGCCAATGTCTGAACAGTTGCTCTTCTTTGCTACATTGGTTGGGAAAAAACTGTTCAAGATGAAGATAAAGCCTTATATCCCAGATTTCAAACTGGCGTTCGAGCATTTCTGCATTCATGCTGGAGGAAGAGCTGTGTTGGATGAACTGGAGAAAAACTTGCAGCTCTCGGATTGGCATATGGAGCCTTCAAGGATGACACTCTACCGATTTGGCAACACTTCAAGCAGCTCTCTTTGGTACGAATTGGCATATGCAGAAGCCAAGGGAAGGATTAAGAGGGGAGACAGAACATGGCAAATAGCATTTGGGTCTGGGTTCAAGTGCAACAGTGCAGTTTGGAAGGCTTTGAGGACTTTAAACCCTGCAAGGGAGAAGAACCCATGGATGAATGAGATTGATCAGTTCCCAGTGGAAGTTCCGAAGGTCTCGGCCATTTGAAATTCAAGAACTAAATACCAGCTGCATTTTGTTCATGGCTGCCTGGGACTTAGTAGTGACATATTTTATATTTTTCGAGTCTATTCTAATTTCACAGGGGCTGTGGGTGATTGACTAGAATATGCATATTGTTATTCAGCATTTAAGGTGGGAAAATAGTAGGACGATTTTTTCTTTGTTTCCTTGTGCCCTAAGTTTAGGTGGATGGTGCAGTTATCAACAAGTCCTCCAAGTTGTGGTTGAAGATGGCATGTGTTGCAGTAAGTAGGAAATCAAAGGGTACTTACTTGTGCTGAAACAGTAAGCTAGTTACCAATATTAAATTTTTATTTCAGTGAGAAGCTAGGGTTTTAGTTATTAGGTGTGTTGAACTGTTATCAATTGTTTACTAGGAGCTGGGGAACCAGGCTATTATGAGATTGTGCTTCTCATGTCAACCTTTTTTTTCTATTTGAGTTCAGGGGGGCGTCAGACTGGGTTCAATTTTCATTAATCATGCTTTTTGTCCTCTTATTTATTCATCTTCATTCTAAACTGTTGAAGAGCTGATCTATAATTTGTTATTTATGAAGTGAACTGCTGATTGATGATGTTGGATCTCTCTTACTAGTTGCTTGGCCATGACTGTGTGTTTACTGGTTATGCACCTCCGTTTCTTCACGTGTATTCATGCCAAGTAATATTTCACAGCACATAGGCCTTTCGATATGTTATTTAACTGCATTGCTGCATTTCCTTGATCTTTTTCCCCCTTTTTTGTAGCAAAAAACTGGGAACCCCTTATACTTGAGATATGCTAGGTTGAGGCTTTGGAGTTCAAGGATACCTTTTTGCGCTTGATGTACCAGGTTGAGTAGAGAAGATAGGGCCTTAGACCTGGGCATAGAGTGGTATTATATACAGCTTTCTCTGGAAGTGTATTTGGTGCATTTGGGGAGAACATATAAAGGTGGCATATTCTGGTGTGGAATCTGATGGAGCCATTCTGTCACTTTGGCACCAAAGGCAGTTGTGGCATATGTGGAAGGGGACAAAGGGTATGCTTGATTTGTTGTGTTCGGGACTCAGGGAGCTATGATTTGTGATGCTTGTTTTGCAGCTGAGTTATGTCATGATTGTTCAGGTATTATATATAGATGTTATTAGAGCCGAGTGGCAAAACAGGCTAGGTAGATTAGAAATGTCCATCTCTGTTTCAGATGGTGCATTATGGAGTGGCTAGGGAATTTTTCTGTGTTGATTTTTGTTGGTAATTGAGGCATGGACTTGAAAATCATGAGCACATTACCTACTCTGGAGAAAAGGGAGGAAAAGAGGAGAGCAAGTGTGCAGTTGCTGAAGCATTTTAGTGAGGAGGATTCAAAAACAAAGAGTCTTTTGATTTTCTGGGCAATCCAAGGTCTAGGTCTCTCATTAGGAGGTGGTTATAGGATAAAGCTTATTGACATAACGGTTGCCCAACAGAAGGTGGGCTTCGTGAGGCTGCGGACTTGCAGAAAATCAAAATATTGACTCATGTTTTAATATTGGGGATCAACTACACGAATCTTGTTATGTCAATTTGCACTTTCAAAGGTAATTTTATCGATTAAACCGTCCAGTACTATATTTTTTTTATTGTTTCATTCGAAGTTGATTCTGGATTATCTCTACCTCTCATTTTACCACCTGCCATGGGTATCATCACATCACTTTTTGAAAGGCAAACATCTTTACATATCTTGATAAGCACCAATAAATAATAGACATGCAGCAGTATGGATCTATGTTCAGTTTTTTTTTTTTTTTAAAAAAGAGGGAAAGGAATGAGGTTGAAACCCGCAACTACTTGCAGGTTAGAGTGAGTTCTTACCTATGGGTCACTCCCTCACCTCAATGGATCTATGTTCAGTTGTAGGCTAATTCCTCACAATCTTTATCTCACATGGCTTGAGAGCCGAAGACCAATGCAGTTTTTTCCCTCCTTTAAATAGAGTACTGTTGGAACTTCACCTTTAGAGAATCTGCTTAATCTTGACCATGATCCTGGACGGTATTTTTAGGATTGGGAGCACAAGATTTTGACTTGAATTCAAAACAGGAGGTAATTTCTTGCCAAATCGTAACTACATCTATTTTTTATTTATTTATTTAGAACTTGAACTACATCAAGTTGACTTGGGCTATTACTTTAGAAAGGTCTGTATGATTTGATTTTTCAATAGCTAAAAACTAGAGTTTCAGGGCTCATGCCCAAATAGGGGCTTTCTTTTCTCTTGCTTGCGCCTTCGTTCCTCATTCATTCAAATCAAAGGACTGCATTGGAAAGAGATAAGAATGGCCCATTGACTTGGTTGGCTGCTGGCAAGCTTAGCTCTTGTCTTGTAGCTGCTGGTAGCCGGTATGCCAGTCAATATGCAGCAACAATCATGAAATCTTTTGAGCCTTTAGTTCTTCTCCCTAATTTCACTCTTTCTGTTTTTTTTTTTTTGGAAGAAAACAGATCCACCACACGCATACCGGGCTTTCATAACTGCCATTTCGTAGCACAAAACAAGAGAGAAAAGAAAAGAAAACCAGAAACAAAAGAGAATATAAGGAGTTAAAGCCCAACCAAATTTCCAAGCATACTGCATTGGCAAATCAATATTGCCGCAAAATATCAACAGAACAGAGAATGGAAACAAAGCATTTTGCTTTCAGCTACGCAAAAAGACCATCCGTCTGCTAAATAGAAAACCTGCAACATGCACGCAGCCATAGCAGCAAACCGGCAACACTATCCACCTAATGGTATTCATTGTTTTAAAACTACAGTAAGTAAACATAACGGTATGGATGATCATCACCAGCTCAATCCTTGGAGGATTTGTTGATAAGTGACTTGTGGATATGAGGGATCACACCACCACCAGCTATGGTTCCTTTGATCAGGGTATCAAGTTCTTCATCACCCCGTATTGCAAGCTGCAAATGCCTAGGTGTGATACGTTTCACCTTTAAATCTTTGCTTGCATTACCTGCCAATTCCAACACTTCAGCAGTAAGATACTCCAAGATAGCTGCAGAGTATACAGCAGCTGTTGCACCAACTCTTCCACTAGCGGTGACCCTTGATTTCAGGAGACGGTGGATGCGACCCACAGGAAACTGCAAGAATATGTTTACAAGCAAACCATAAAAAATATGTAAATCTGCTAAACGCTATTCAAATCTGAGTTAAGCAATCATCACTTATTCCTACATGTCTGAGAAAATAAAAAAAATAAAAATCTATGCAAATATTTACTGTGAGGTGAGTGTGAAAGCCGTCCTAGAAATGGGGTCCAGATCATGAACAAAATTAATGAATTAAAACCATAAAAAAGCTACATATGGTTTATAAATAAACGGGAAGAACAATCCAAGTAGTCAAACTAAACCCAAAGAAACGCCAAAGCTTTTCAAGTTTCTATAAGTAGACCCCAAAGAAACATTCATGTTGTATAATTCAAGTGTTGGAGAGCATTGAAGCATAGTGGTTGCGGCATCGCAGAATAGTGTCAGGTAAACATGCACAAATTTCCAGAATAAAGAAGAATTAAATATACAAGAGATTCAAGTCATACTGCAACGTCAGGGAACAATATTGGCTGGTTCCATGACGATGACTCGGAAACATCTGGAACGACTTAGCTTTTTACATAGGAACTTGGATCAAAGTGGTATGTTTTAAATGTAGAACCATTCTCACAGCTATCAACTGCATGATCAAGGACAAAGCTAGAATTTGACATTTGTTTTCAGCAAGACCACATTAAAATATGAAAACTGTAGCAAGGGTCATCTCAACTGATCTTCAAAAACTAGTCGGTCAGTTTAGGTGGCCAGAAGAAAATTTTGGTAATTCGCTTTTTTTTTTTTGTTGGGGGGGGGACCAAGGTTCTACAATTATCTTTTGCAAAGCTCACATGTCTTGAAATGAAAGTGAAAGTAGAATGAAAGCTGGGCCTAATTCCGAAACACGTGTACAGATTTTATGGATCTTCACTATTACGTACATGTACCCTTCTCAGGTATCCCTCTTTTCTTCCTCAAATGCCCTCCCTCCAATTTCAATTTAAGGAGAAAGGTAACATCTCCTAATCCCAATCAACCACAATCAATCAGGAATAACCACTAAAACCCTTGGGGTCAAATAAAGACAAAAAGCGATATGCCATTGACCTAGCACAACAAAACACTTTTCACAGGAATGGAATGTCTAATTTTTAGGTCAAAATCTCTACAGTAATGTCTCGGTTAGATTCTCCAGTCAAAAGACGGAAAAATTTCATTCGATTCTCAATGGAGACGGATGTTTTGAAAATTCTTCCCAAAACTGGAAGAGCATTTCAAGCTCTTTAAACATATTCAAGGTTCAATGTGACTATTGTCATTCCAGCCAACCCACGAGATGAGAGTTACAGCTAGTGGAAGGCAACTAGCAATTTCTATATCTACGAAAAAAAGACAAGAGGACTGAGAATTTGTATGAAGCAGCTCATCGCCCCCTAGTTGGTATATCCCAGTGGTCACAATACAGACGATTGACCTTTTTGTCAATCTTTAAAAAGTTTCTAATTTACAAGAAAATGGAGTTTTGATACACAAATATAGTACCCTTCAATCTCTTTCCCAATTTAAAGACATTTTATCTGTTATCAGGTCTTTTAGCTTCGAAATTGAGTATATTCTAACATGCAGTGCTCAACAAAATCAAATTTTCTGTCTGCTCAGCTGTGGCAATTGCTGTTACTTGTCTCATTTGCCAATCTTTCCAAACCCGGTCCTTTTTCTTTAGTCTTCTACCTACTCGTCTAATTGTTATATCCGCTGCTTTCAAAGAAAAATAAGGAATAGCAATCAACAACACCCACCATAAATACACAGCTAATTTGAGTGAGTGAGTCCTATCATAATATTAGGACCACTAGTTTAAGATTTCTTGATTTTTTGGGACCCAAAACTTCTCAGTTTCTTTCCTTTTCTCACATTTTCTCATCAACCAAACACAAAACCCAATTCACGCGGCTATTCTAACATATTTAAATTTAGATTTAAAAATCTTGGAAAACACAAGAATTCAAGAAAAATCCACAAAGACAAGTAGCAAATATATAAGGATAAGTTCACGCAATGCTCTGTGTGTGTGTACCCACAAAACCCATGCAGATTAATCAATAGAAAATGGAAGAAATACAAAATTGAGAGAGAAAAAGGGGGGGGGGGGGTGAGGACCTGAAGACCAGCACGTGAAGAGCGAGAGGTGGGTCTTTTCTTGTCTTTGTCTTTGTCTTTGTCTTTCGCTGCAGTCGATGGGGTTTTCCCCGTTAACAACCCTTTAGCACCTTTCCCTGACATCTTTGAAGATCTGATTAGAGGAACTGCAGCAGAACAGATCGAGCAAACAATTGCACACAAACTCACAGAGAGAGAGATTTGAGGGTCGGGGGGGTTTAGAGGTTGTTTAGTAATTTGAGACGTCTGTTGACAGTTGGAAGAACCCCGCGTATTTAACTTCCGGATAAATTTCGATAGGACCCTCTTAATCTTACAAAGATAACATAATGGCTTCTAATATTTTCGAATTAGTATAAAGACCCCAATTAGAAACTTTTTACCCCCGTTAACCCTAGCCCCCAGCCCCTATTTGGCACACTCCCAATTAGGGTTGATAATCAAACCGAGTTACTCGAGTTCGACTTATTCTTATTTTTGACTCGTTTAAGTTCAAAAAAAATTTTAGGCTTATTTGAGAAATGAATCCAACAAGCTTGGTTCAAATTCAACAGATTTAACTTGTTTATGTACAAATATTCGGACTCGGCTCGAGTTCAAGCTCGTTTCGAGTTCGAGCTTGTTCAACTATCAGTGTCCTACTCCCAATAGAGAACCTCATCTTGATTCCACAATGTGAGCTTTTATTCTATTTAAGAACACCTTTGAAGGCAAACAATCCGAAAAGGTTATCATTGAAAGGTGCTTTCTAAACATCGAGACTATGTTGCTAAATTCTTACTCTTGAAGAAAACACAATTCAGTGCTAGTGACACTAAAACTAAGAAAGCACATGATTCTAGTGTAAAGTATAGCTTTTTAAAAGTATACATGATCTTGTGCCACCAGCCCCAACTCTTAAGCAAGAAGAACATGATATAAATATTAAATTTAGTTATTCCAAGAGTAAACAAGCGTAAACGCCCTAAAATTAGAAGAAAACATGATTTTGACGTGAAATGCACTAATTTTGAAAAAAAAATAATAATTTATTTTTAGAATCAATATGCAAGAATTTTTTATTTTTTTATTTTTTATCAAAGAACAACTATAATATTTTTACTTAAAAACAGAAGTGGCATAGCATTCATATAACTCACACACACCTTAAAGCTATCCGAATTTGATTGTGTTGTTGATTATATATATCGTCGAAGTGGAATTGTGGAGGATGGTGGATGTTATTCATTGGTAGTTGGAGGGTGGGATAAAGGATGAGAAATTTTTACATGGGTTGTACACACTATGTATCATGCCCATGTGGTGTGTATATAACTAATAAAAAAGTGATACATGAGCAACTTGTCAGCTTTAATACACATCAGCACTAACTCCTATTTTTCACATTCATTAGTTAACCTCCGTTACGAGGAAATATTGGGTTAAACGATGATATCGCGTTATTATTGTTACGTGGTGTTATTAATTAATTATAAAATAACAAATGAGATTGATGAACTGCAATATTCAAACATAACAGAAGTAGTTATTGGTAGTTAATAGAACAGTGGAGTCCACTAAATCTACTTAATATTTTTAAGAGACAAAAAATTGATGATACCTCTAAACGTGAATTTGAGATATGGTTTCTGAAAAAGAAGTTTGAACAAACTTCTATTTTCTGTTTTGCAAAACAAACAAACTGTCCAAGATCGAAGTGCTTCGATCGAAGACACTCCGATGCTTAAGTCAGTAATAGAACAGAAAGAATTGTCACAAGAACAGGAGAGTTTTGCATACCTTTCACCTTGGTCTCTTTTGCTTTTTATACCTCATTATCCCCTTAGGGGTTCCATGAATTTCGATTCAAAGTGGCACACATTCCTTTACTTCAGTATTTGATTTTGGGAAGTTACTGATATTTCTCCAACGATCTCTCTTGATATCTTCAATCTTTTTGATTTCGTTTATCTGATTGCTTAGATTTTAGGCGAACATTTAACTTTTCATCTATCGTTTTGAACAACTCGGATATATCGAGTGTCGAGCACATTCAACATTTGCCGAACAGTTTAAGGACTTGATTTGGCACAAACCATTCTCTTCAATTCGTCTTCCCGAATACTTTAATTAACTTGGCTTGGTACAACCGAGCTCTTCCCTTGCTTTACTGAACATATTGCTAAGCTCGGTCATAAAGTGAACCGAACTTCTTCTTTGTTTACTAGACTTTTCATTAGCTTGGCTTGGTTAAAGACTTAATAGAGGATTCTTCATCACGTGCCTTGTCTTGTCAATACCACGTGAGTACATTTAATGTCATATCACATGTGTTCATGAGGTTTAACCCCTTCATTTGCCCCCAGAAAACGTCTGACAGACGTTTTTCGTCTGTCATCCGTTTTTTCTCCTTCTCATCATCATTATTTGTACTTTGTAACATCCCCTTTTGTTCTGGCGGCATATTCAAGGCATTTAAATATTACCCTTTAAAATTTCCTTCTCTTTATAAACCAACTTTCTTTTCGTTTCATTCACTTCGCCTTTTCGCTTCCAAACTTACTTTCTTCCTCTAAACTTCGTCTTCTTCAATGGCCCCTCTTACTCCCTCAGAAGACGATGTTAAGGTTAGGGTTGCTGGAAAGGATGAGCCCTTAATTGGTACAAGAGAGAGAATCCCCATTCCCACTTGTGCCATTACCGAAGGTGGGATTCGTTTTCCTCTTGATCCTCTTCTTATCTGGGTTCTCTCTGCTGCTTTAACTTTTTTCGGATTACCATGGGGTGTCTTCCTTGAACAAGATTCTGAGTTTGAGTCTTGGGTTGTGGGAGATTTTGTACTGCTACATCATCAAGGCTGCTAGAGATAGCTACTACCTGTCGGTGAGGAAGAAGAAGAGATATCTGGTAACTCACCTTTCAGATTCAACCAAGGGCCATGAGAATGACGTGGTGTTTGTCTCTGGTAACTGGGAATATGCTTCTGGCGTCACTCCATCTTATCGCTGCCTCTACGAAGAAGGCATGCCAGGAATTTGATATCCTTTGCCTTATGTTTTAACTTTGATTCTCAGTTTTCCTAATTTTGAGATTTCTTTTGCACAGGTGAAACTGTGAAGGGAAGGATTGTTGAGTCCTCGGTAAAGATGGATCAACTTCATAAAGTTTAGAATTTCAACGAGTCATTGTTCTGCCGAGCCGCCCACATGCTACTCGGATACACTCCTGCATACACATCATTTATTATCGTGCCGAACCCACCCAACGCCACTTTAGCCGCAGATCGGGAGGCGATCCAGACAACTCGGGCTCAGACTCCACGAGCCAAGAAGAAGTCTTTCCTTGCAACTTCTGGGCGCAAGACGGTGAAGAACTTTCTTGATTTCCTGTCAACCGTTGAACCGACTCCCTCAATCGAGCAGACTCCAGCTACTTCAACGATTTTGATTACTGTTCTTGACGAATCAACTCCCGAAGTCCTTCCCGAGGTGATTCGTTCTGAAGTCGATGATGCAGGTCTGCCTTTGAATGACCAAGCCGATTTGCCTTTAGCCGCTGAAACTTCTGTTCATGTTGAGATAGATCCTCCAGAACCTGTTCACTCCCCTTTTCAAGAAAATGACTCAATCTTTGAGCTCGCTGATGATCCAGCTCTAAAAAAGAGAAAGATCTCAGAGACCAAGGCGAGTCTTTTCCCTATACCTATGAATCCTCCTTTTAGACCAATCCTTAGAGCTAAAAGAAGAGAAATTAATGCAAAGGATTCTGTGATAGAGGGTTTCAACGTTGCAGTTGGAATTGCTCGGGGGGTGATTTTGCCTCGTGACTTGGCAATGAACGAAGTCCTTACTGATGATGAGGTGTCTCGCCAGGCCATTCAACATATAGTTTTGGTAAATCTTGACTCTGACTTCTCTTAAGCTTTTTACCCTTGAAATTTTTCTAAGTCTTTTCTTTCTTCTCATCTTCAAGGGTTTGCAAAAAAGTCCATGAGGTCGGAGTTTGGATAGCTTGGAAAGATAAGGCAATGAAAGATGTCATCCATGCCTGAGCTTCGACTCTGTCCAAGAAGGAGAGTGTGGATGAGGAGTATGTCAAACTCTACGAAGAATTGAAGGTTCTGCAGGCTCAAAATCAAAGCCTAACAGAAGAGAACCAAAAGCTTCAAGCAGAGGTCAAGGAGTTAAAGGAGTTCGAGCATGAAGTCAACGTGGAGCTCACACAATATCAACTCGACTACTCCAACCTCCTTGAAGAATTTGAACAATTTAAGTCTGAGGCAACAGAGAAGGAGGATGCTGCATATAATGAAGGTATGGAAAAAACGGAGAATGACTTGGCTTTGCAAATTCCTCAGCTTCAAGAGGCATTCTTTAGCAAGGGCTGGCAGGTTGCCTTGACTGCTGTCGAAGTTGCTCATTCTTCTGAACTATTTTCAAGATATTCGGCTCTAAGCTCCTCTCATCCTCCTGCCCCTTCAGACACTTTGGAGATCTTTTTTGAACTTTCTAATGTACCTGCAATTTCTGATGTTTTTGTTGTAAGATCTTGTACCTTTTGATGTTTAAATGAAAATCGACTTTTATCATCTCTCTTTCACTTCTTAGAACGTTTGAGCAAAAACTGATTTTTATATTTGGGAAAATTTCAAGTCTCTTTGAATTCTGGACCCCTGTTCGGCCATTTTTCAAAGAGCCCGGTTTTCCAACAAGAACCTTTTTTTATTTAGAAAATATTTTGAGTCTCTTTGAAATCTTGGCCTTTGCTCGGCCCTTTTTCAAAGAGCTCGGTTCCTCAATAGGAGCCTTTTTACACTTGGAAAATATTTCAAGTCTCTTTGAAATCTTGGCCCATGCTCGGCCCTTTTTCAAAGAGCTCGGTTTCTCAACAGGAACCTTTTTATATTTAGAAAATATTTCAAGTCTCTTTGAAATCTTGACCCTTTTTCAAAGAGCTTGGTTTCTCAACAGGAACCTTTTTACACTAGAAAAATATTTCGAGTCTCTTTGAAATCTTGGCCCATGCTCGCCCTTTTTCAAAGAGCTTGATTCCTCAACAGGAACCTTTTTATATTTAGAAAATATTTCAAGTCTTTTTGAAATCTTGGCCCTTGCTCGGCCCTTTTTCAAAGAGCTCGGTTCCTCAATAGGAACCTTTTTACACTTGAAAAATATTTCGAGTCTCTTTTAAATCTTAGCCCATGCTCAGCCTTTTTCAAAGAATTCGGTTCCTCAGTAGAGTTACTC